GGGTGGGGCTGAGGAGGGGGCAGAGACGGAGGTGAGGGGCGCACAGGCTGGGGTGCGGCCCGGGCCGGGGCCGGCGCGCACGGGCCGGTCCACCAGGGCCCGCACTTACCGTGGCCGCCGCGGGTGAGGAAGGGCATGCGGTTGATGGCGATGGGCACGGTGCCGTGCTTGCTGTGGAAGTGGTGGACGTGGTGGGTGGTGCTGAGGCTGGAGGAGACGCGGGCCCCCTCGGCCGTGCCCAGCAGCAGCAGCAGCAGCAGCGGCAGCAGCGGCGGCGGCGGCGGGGGCCCGGCCAGGGCGGGGGGGCGGCGCGGGCACCCCCCCGGCCCGCTCCCCCCGGGGGGCATCTCGCCCGGGGGCGGCCGCCTACAGCCCCATGGCGGGGCGGGGACGCGCAGCCCCCCTCGGGCTCCGGCCCCAGGAGGGGGAAGGGCGAGGAGCGGGAGAACCGGAGCCGGGCTCGGTCCGCAGCCACGGGATCAGCGGGACGCCGCCGGGGAGCCCGGGGTCTGCGGCGCGGCGGCGGCGCGGCCCGGACCGCCGGGGCCCATCGCGCTAAGGGGCCCCGCGCATCCCGGCGGCGGGCGCGGAGCCGTCAGCAGCCCGGGGGGGCGCCCGGGGGAGGGGGCATCGCTCAGGCCCGGGCCGGCGGGCGGGGCCCGCGGGAGGCGGCGGGGATCCTGCGGAAAAGCCGAGCCGGGAGGGGCTGGCGGAGAAGCGGAGCTGCCGGCTGCCGCCCCACGGAGGCCGGGAGAGGAGGGCGGCGGGGAGGGGGCGGGGAGGGAAGCAGATCCGGGTGAGGAGGGATGGAGGGAGGAGGGGAGGAGGGGAGCCGGGCCGAGCAGAGGAGAGGCGCGAGCGGCGAGATTCCGGCGGAGGATGGAGGCAGCGGAGTGTTGCTGCAGAGGCAGAGGCAGAGGCTGGAAGGGAGAGGAGGGCGCCGGGAGGGAGGAGGGAGGGGGGAGGAGGAGGGAGAGCGGAGCGGAGGGGGGCGCGGAGAAGGCGGGGGCAGGCGGAGGACCGAGCGGCTCCGGGCTGCGGGCGGCGCTGGGCGCTCCTGCGCGGGCACCTGGCTGCCGGCTCCGCGCCCGCCGCGCCCGGGCGCGCGCCCGCCCCGCCCCGCCCCGCGCCGGGAGCGCGCTCCCCTCCGCCCCCTCCTCCGAAGGGCCCCGATGAATAATTGAACAGGGCTGAGGCAGCGGGGGAGGCGGCTCTCTCCCCTCCCCTCCCCCCCTCGCACCTGAGTGAACCCCAATAGTGCTCGCACCCCTGCCCGCACCCCTCGGAACGCGCGCTCGCCAGGAGGTGGCCGGGCTCCGGGGCTTGGGGACGGAGACACCCACGTGCCCACACAGGCATCATGGTGCGGGCGCGCGCATGCACACAGGCTCAGACACATACATGCATGCATGTGCTCTCAGAGGCTGGCGCATGAACTCACACTGGGCCGAGCGTGTACACCCGCTCCCAGAAGCATACATACACACACATACATGTTTGATCACAGGCAATCCATGGCCAGGCGCACGCAGACACGGCCCCTCGCTCACCCCCCCACCTCCCCGAACAGGGTCACCTACGTCCACACAAACGGCACCCGCACCTCAAAGGCACTGGAGTAAGCACACCACTCGGCCTCCTCCCACCTCCCCCAGAGTGCCCCCAACCTCCCGCACCCCCCCTGGACTCCAAGCCTTCCTCTCCACCCCCGGCCCGCCCCCGGCCTCCACCTCTCCCCCACCGCGTTCCCAGGGCACTGCCCACTGAGCGTCCCGCCTGGACAGGCCCTTCCTGGCCACGATGTCCAGCTGAGGACTCCCTGCTCCCTCGAGGGGCCCCTCCACTGGGCTGTGCCCCAGAGTTTCGGGGACCTCAGGAAGCGCCTGTCACAGCCCAAGAGGTGACGCAGGAGGCCCCCTTCCCTCCATCTGGGTGCCACCTCCACACCCACATCAACTCGGTCCGCCCAGAGGGTCCTCTGAGAGGAGGGGGCCGGGGGGAGAAGGAAGGAGGTGGAGACAGACCTAGCAAGGAGGAGTCAAAGGAATAGTGCAGCAGAGTGAGGAGAGGGGCGAGGGGCAAAGGGAAGGGGGTGATGTGAGAGAGGGAGGGAGATTCTGGGGGCGAGAGGACTGACTTCTGGTATTGGTTCCACTTCGGAGCAGAACTACCGCCAGTGGCCCCACATGGCGCTGTGCCCACTCCCGGTGCTGTCAGGACCCAGGCCAGCTCCTGCCACACCCGCCCTTGCTAGATGCCAGGCCCCTTTGACCTGGGCCTACAGACGTGAAGAAAGGGGTCCTCAGAGGGACCGGGAGGAGGATCTGAGCTGGTGCGCGGCCCCAAGCCTTGTCCCGCTGCCCTCTGCACCCCATTCTGTGCCCCTGGCTCCGAGATGCAGACTGACACAGCTCGGAGCAGGCGGCAGAGTTATGGTCCCCGAGGGAAGGAGGGCGGAGCCGGTAGCAAGAGGAGAGGAAGGGAAACCGCCTGGAGGCCAATCGATACCGGTGAGTGGGAAGTGCTGGGGGGGGGGGGGGCAGAGGGTACAATGAAGGGAGGGACAGAGATCGATAGAGGCTGCAGAGGAGCCCAGCAGATGGAGAGGCGAGAAGGGGCAGAGGGTGAGGAACTGAGCGCCGGGAGACAGCCGCAGGCGGGCCCCTGGGAGCCGTGGCCTGCGCCCCCAGCCTGGGCTTCCGGGGCTGGTCAGAGCGTGCCCCTCCCTTTAGCTTCCTCCTTTCCCATTTCACGTTCCCACTCCCCCCCTCCCCATCAAAGAGATGGGTTCTCGCCCTTGGCTCTCTCCTGCCTTCCCAGAACAGACTCCGGAGCCTTAAAGGGACACAGCCCCTTCGCCACGCCGCCTGGTGCGGTCCCAGGTCCCAGGTGGAGACGCCGAGGCGAGAGAAGTGCCGTCCTGCAGGTTGCACCTCTCATCCCAGGCTCATCCCCAGACAGCTCACCCCGACCCACCCATCCGAGGACAGGGTCCGGGCCCACCCCGCCACCCGCCCAGCCCACGCCCGGGGCCCTCTGTGCCCAGTGGTGCCCCAGCGCCTTCACACTCGGGTTGGAGAAACTTCCTTCTCCCCCCGGGCCCCTCCTCTCAGAGGACCCTCTGGGCGGACCGAGTTGATGTGGGTGTGGAGGTGGCACCCAGATGGAGGGTGTTCCCGCTGGCCCTGGTGTTCACGGGCGGGAAGACAGCCCCGGGGCACAGCGTGGACGTGACGGGGCCGAGCGTGGAGGTATGGAAGGGGGGCACAGTCCCCGACGCCCAGGCTCCCGCCCCGTCACCCTGTCCTGCAGGTGAGGTCTCAGAGGTGCCCAGGCCGGCGGTCCGAGGCTTCAGGTCGCACCCACCTTGTCTTTCTCTCCAGGCTCTGCCGCTGGACTGCAGACCAGGGTGGCTGTGGGGGCCCTTCTCCAGCCCCAGCTCTCCCTGCCCCCCAAGACCGGGAGGTCCCAACCTCCTTCCCACCTCTGCTGAAGGACAGTGTGGCCCCTGAGCCCCCCCCCCCCCCACACATCTCTACCCCCTTCCAGAAGGCTCCATCCACCCTGTGGGAGGCTGGAAGCAACAACGGGCGGCCGGGCTTCCTCACCCTGACCCCCCGCTCCCCGCCAGCAAGGCCCCCGCGGGCGCCTCCAGCGCCGGGACATGAGCGGCAGCGAGTGGGCGTCTCGGTTTTCTCCTCGGTGCAGGGGGAGGTGGCTCCCCACCCCACCGCCTTCCAGAGGGGCTGTCACTATTGGCGGCGACGTGCCCGCCGCCTCAGACCTGAGCACAGCTGGACGAGCTGCGGGAAGGGGCCAGCCCAGCCCCATGCTGACCGGGGCTGCGGTGCCCAGCGGGCCATGGCCTGGGGCTCTGCACGGATCGGATGTCGGACAAGGAAAATCCGGGGGACGGGGTGGGGATGGGAGTACCCACGGGTGCCCCTGCCTGAGAGCACCAGGCAGCACCAGGGAGGATGGCTGGACACCCCCAGGGCGGAGCACCATGACCCGCTCAGAGCCCATCCCGGCACCGCCCACGCCACAGGAAACACGGCCTCCGCCCTGATGCCCAGGCGCCTCGGGGGACAGAGGCACAGGCACCAGCCCCAGGTCCGTTGTGAACTTCCTCCGGGTCCACTCACCCCTCCGGGTCTCGGGTTCCATGTTGGTAAAGTGGAGGGAGAAGCCCTGTCCGCGAGCGCGCATGTGTGTGTCCGCATGTGTGTGTGTGTGTGTGTGTGTGTGTGTTTCCCAGGAAGCTCAGTGCTCACACCCTGCTCTCTCAGCAGGCCCCCCTCCAATCCCCATCATCAGAGGGAAACTCCAAAAGCCCCTCGAGGTGGCAGCTGCCCGCCCTCCTGCCCAGCTGGCCTCCTCTGCCACCAGCCGCAGGCCGCCAACCTGGAAGCTGCTGCTGGAGCCGCCCGGGGGGGGGGGGGGGCGGGTCACACCATGTGCCCCCGGGGCAGAGGGCGCCAGGGGCACCAGGGGTCCCTGTGGCTCCAGGAGGCAGCCTGCAGCTGGGCTCCGGGCGGGAAAGAGCAGGGCTCACTCAGCCAATGTCCGGCGGCCTGGCCTCGGGGACCTCTGAGCCTGCCTGCGGGGCCTGGACCCTCTGGGGGAGACAACAGGCTTCCACTGTGACACTCTGAGGGCTCCGAGGGAAGGGGTGCAGGCTGGCCAGCCCCCCGCTTCTGCAATAGTGTGTATGCGGGAGCTACACATGTAACACGTGAGCCCACGGCCAAGGTCGCACGGGGAGAGCAGCAGAGGCCGACACCTCCGGTCACGGGTGCAGGGAGCCACGCCCCACCAGCTCAGAGCGAAGGAGGGCGTCCAGCTAGCCATGGGGCGCCCAGAGTGAGGCAGCTGCAGACCCGCTCAGGCCCGCAGCTCCCCTGGGCTCTCGTGACGAGAAGGGATGAGGAGGAAGAAGCACGGAGGCTCAGCGGCTCTCCAGCAGCCCAGGCGGAGCCCCGCGCCCGCCCCGCACTCACGGTCATTGCACACGGGGCCTCCGTAGGACGTCATGGTGCAGTCACAGGTGAAGCCGTCCCACTGCTGCAGGCAGACGCCCTGGTTGGCACAAGACTCTTCGGTGCAGGTGGTGCTGGGGCCTGGAAGGGGCGGGAGGAAGGGACACACCGGCTCAGCCACGCCCCTCCCTCCCGCCCAGGCGCCAGGGCCGGGCAGGGTCCGGCTCCCAGTCCTCCAGGCCGAAAGGGCCGGTACTGACTGACGAGGGGTGGGGTGGGAATGGGCGCTCAAGGACTGCCAGGCTTGGCCTTGAGCTGGGATTAAGGGCCAGGGGTGGGAGGCACCAGGGAGAGCAGGTGACCCTTCAGCCGGGGACCCCTGCTCAGAGCTGGGGGCAGGCACGTGCAAGGCCTGGAAGGAAGGCCGCCCGGCCTGCCCGGCAGCTGGCCCTCCTGCAGCTGCAGGTCGCACGCCTCCTCCTGGCCACACTCACCGTCACAGCCCCTCTCCACCTGCCCGATGCGGTGCAGGGCGTCCGCGATGAGGTCCGGGAGGCGCCCGTTGAGGTCCACCGAGGCCAGGCAGCCCTGGAAGCCGTCCCGGGAGGCCACCAGCTTGGGCAGGCTGCTGAACATGTTCTTGCTCAGACCGCCGATGTACAGCTCCCCTGCGGAGGGTCAGGGTCACACCTCAGCTCCAGGCCCGGCCCCTCCCGGAGGGCGCCCGGGTCCTCAGACCCTCCAGGCCGCGCAGGGCCCCATCCCAGACACTTCCTCACGGAGACCCAACGCCTCCACGTCCCCTCCCCGCCTTCCTCCTTCCTTCTCCACTTTGCCATCTGTCTGCTCCCCTCCCAGAGCAGCCCAGATGCAGGGGGCGGGGGCGGGGAGCAGCTGGAGGGAAATGTTCCACGCACGCTCCCACACATCTGATTCCAGTTCCGGCCTGTAATCAGGGCCTTTCATAATGTGCAGCCAACACACACACACACACACACACACACACACACACACACCGGCTCCCCCTGCCGAAGTCTCTGTTGCCGGAACTCCCGAGGCCTCTCCCCACCCCCAGTTCTCTCCGGGGGCTCTCAGCCCAGCTTCAGTCCCCGATGAGGAAGGCTTGGCAGGGAACTCTGGGGACCCTGGGGAGTGCTCCTAGTCACCACATCAGTGTCCGGCCACAGCGGACCTGACTCCCTGGGCGTTTGTCCCGCCCACCCCCCAACAGAACTTCATCCAGACGCAGGCCGCCCTGATGCCCTGACCATGGCCCCAGACCGCCCCAGCTGGCTACCGCCGTGGGTTATCTGTGACTCATCGCCCCCTTCTGAGAGCAAGGAGAACTGGCAGCATCATGCCCAACATCTGGCCCAGCTTCCACTCTCAGCTCAGCTGCCTTCTCACTCGGTGACTTCAGGCAAGCCACCTAGCTTCCAGAAGCTTCTATCGCCACCTCTCCAAGAGGGGAAGAGCCCAATGGTCTCTGAGGGTCCCCCTCCAGCTCGGACAGTCTGAGTCCCACTGACACAGGTCCCTGCGGAGCTGAGGGCGGCTTTGGGAGTGTGAAAGCAGTTGCCCGTTGGGCTCTGGGATGGCCACGGGCATTGTCCTCCCTTCAGTTCCAAAACCTGTTCTAGGCTCCTCCTCCTCTTCCCTCTCTGACCAGCCCCTGGGGGGAGGAGGTGAGTGACGGCTTCAATGGCTACTGAAGAGGCTGGAGATGTGGCACCCTGGTGTCATGCTGACCACAGGCGAGCCCAGCCGAGGCCCAAGGTATATGACCCTTCCCCTCACCAGCGCCCCACCCACCCTCCCTGGGAGGCGTCTGGCAGGGTGCTGAGCTCCCTGCTCGCTCTCCAGCCCCCATCCCAGGCTCCTCAAGCTGGTTGGACCAGGAGGTCTTGGAAGCTGTGGGGTGAGGCCCCGAGCTCCCAGGAGACGCAGCCTGGGACCGGCTTCCGGTGCTGAGACGGCCCCCGGGGAGCAGCCTCTGCGGGGAGGTGGCCATGCGGACAGGCAGGAGGGAGCCGTGGCGGGGAGGAGGGAGGATCGGCCAGTGGAAGGGCGCGGGGCGGGGGGGGGGGAGGGGGGGAGCGGGGTCTGGCCTGGGCCAGGCCTTGCCGGCGCCCGGCCCACCTTTGAGGTCGAGGTTCCGGGCGCCGCTGGAGTGCTGCGTGACGGTGCGGGAGTCGATCTTGAGCGTGTGCACGTTGCTGGGGTCCCGGGACACCGCCACGTGGTGCCACTGGTTGTCGTTGACGGGCTTGTCCGAGTTCCCCTTCATCAGCGACGGGCCGTTCCCCAGGTCAAACACGTAGTGGATGTACCTGCCGGCGGGAGGGGGCACGGGGTCACGGCGGGCGAGGCTGGGGGAGGAGCTGCGCCCGGCAGGGTCCTCGGTGCCAGGGAGGGAGGGGGAGAGGGGGAGGCCCCCGCTCGAGGACTGTGGTCGAGGGGGGACGTGGAGAGAGGACCACAGAGGAGCCGGTCGGGGGAGAGGCTAGTGGGGCAGCAGGGGCCCCTGGGATCAGCGACAGCGCAGCTCTAGGCCGGGGTCCTCTCCACCGGAGGCCACCGGACCGCCTGTCCTCTGCCTGCAGAGGGGGCTGGAGGGCCGGCAGGACGGGGAAGGGCGGGCAGGTGACTGGGAGACCCTGGCAGGGACGTAGCGGGCAGTCACCGGGCAGCAGGAGGGGGCGCTGTTTTGCTATCTTGGCTGGTATTTGGGGACTTGAGTCTTGGCCTGTGATGGTTTGGGGGATCAGATGTCTCAGCCGTACGGAGGGGCCGTGTCCTGGCCGGGCAGAGGGCCCCCTCCCCGGGCGGGGCAGCGCCCGGCAGCTCACCCCTTGACCAGCTCGATGACGATGAAGTCGTTGCCGTTGCCCGCGTTGAAGAGCAGCAGCCCGTCGGGGGCCGTGGTCTTGAACTGGAAGAAGAGGTGCATGGAGGCGTAGGCCTGCAGCGTGGCGAGCGCCAGGTAGCTGCTCCGGCTCTTGAAGGTGACGGGGTCGGCCACGATGGCCCGCAGGCCGAAGCGGGCGTTGAGCTCGCAGTAGGTGATGTCCCCGTCCTTGCACTGGTCCATGTAGGGCTGCCCGTTGAACACCAGCCCGCTCAGGTGCCCGATGAAGTTGGAGGGCACCACCGAGATGAAGCGCCGCTCCGTCATGATGCCCGTCTCGATGTTGTAGAGCTCCAGCCGCGTGTGGGCCCCCGCCATCTGTCCTGCTCGGGCGGGCGCAGAGAGGAGGGCGGCTTTTGGACCCGGACGGCGGGGCCCTGAGGCCGGGCCTCGGGTCCCCAGGAGCCGCCCTCCGCCCACGGGCTGCCCGGAGAGCCAGCACCGTCCCAGCTCCAGGAGGAGCCAGGCTTCCGGGGACACACTGCCTGCAGGGAGCTGGATGGTCCGGGGTCCGGGCCCCACTTACACCGCCCCCGAGGGAGACGTGCCGGCAGCAGCTCGGGGGGGTGCTGCCGCGGCCGTGCCACCGCCCAGACGGCGCGCCCGCCCCGCCCGCCCGGCGCCTACCCTCCACGGTCACGTTGTCCACGGACAGCTGCAGGCTCCTGCCGCGCCGCAGCACCCGCACCGTGTGCCACTCGTTGTCGTTGAGCTTGTGCCCCGCGAACAGCGTCTCGGGGCCTTTACCTGCGGCACCAAGGGGGGCGTGAGTGCGGCCTCCGTGCCCGGCCGCAGCACAGCCCCGGCGCGGCCTCGCCGCCCCAGGTGTGCACACAACCTCACACACAACCTACGGCCCAGTCCCGGCTGTGCGCACACCGTGCACACCGACACGCACGCTCACGTGGAGAGCTCTGCCCTCTGTACAGCGTGCCAGGGTGCCACTCAGGGAATCGATGTGGCCCGTGCCAGTGGAGCCGTGCCCCGGGCTCTGCACACAGACACCCGTCCTACCGCCAGCACGCTCCTCCCTGTCCCCTAAGGACCTTCCACATCCATGTGCGCAGCCAGCGGCTAAATCCCCACACACGCGCAGACCTGCAACTTTCCCAGCTAGAGGCCCACGTGCACCCACAGCTTCCTGCGGGCACGGGCCCTCCACAGGGACACACAGCCCCCCGCTCCAGGGGCCCAGGGTGACCCCTGCACACACAGGCTACCCCGCACACAGCTTCAGCGGGGCCAGAGGGGAATGTGTCTTGAGGAAATATGACCACTCATTCAAGGCCAGGATGACCTGCTTCCAAGCCTAAAACAAAAGTATTTATCGTTGGCTCTGGCTAGCGTGGTTGAGCATCGACCTATGAACCAGGAGGCCACGGTTGGAGTCTTGGTCAGGGCATCTGCCTGGGTTGCAGGCTTGATCCCCAGTGTGGGGCATGCAAGAGGCAGCCGATCAATGATTCTTTCTCATCATTTCTCTCTCTCTCTCTCTCTCTCTCCTCCTTTCTCTTTAAAATGAATAAAAATATATTTAAAGAAGAAAAATAAATAAAAGGTTTACCTTTGGCCCTGGCCGGTGTGGCTCAGTGGTTAGAGTGCTGGACCACGCACAGGAGGGTCATGGGTTCGATTCCCAGTCAAGGGCGCAGACCTGAGTTGCAGGTTTGATCCGCAGCCCCAGTCGAGGTTCATGCAGGAGGCAACCAATCGATGTGTCTCTCACATCGATATTTCTCTCCCCCTCTCCCATCCACTCTCTCTAATAACGAATGGGGGGAAATATCCTCGGATGAAGATTAAAAAAAAAAAAAAGATTCTCTTTAGAATGGTGCTGAGCCTTGCAGCACTCCCAGGTCACCCCTGGGTCCTCAGTGCTCACGCCAGCAAGGAGCAGGGTCCCCATGGGTATGCACGCAGGTACCGAACACAGCCTCAGCTCTCACACACACACACACACACACCCGCTGCCTGGGCCCGCCGCCTTCCTGTGCTCATTCCTACGGACCGCAGGCACACCATGTGGAACTAGACAGCGCGGGGCCGGGCCGCTGGGGCGCTCAGAAATGCCCACTCTCTCTCTATCGCACCCCGCCGCCTCTGAGAGCGCCCCCATGCGGCAGAAAGACGGCCCTGCCCACGCAGGAGCCGGGAGGGGTTGGAAGGCCTGACCACGCCGCCTCCACGGATCTCAAGCCGCGGCTTCCTTCCGGCGTGCCTCGCGCTCCCCCTTGTGGCCGCCGCTGGACATGCAGCGGGATATTCTGGCCCAGAGCTCTCTCCGCCTTCCTGCCCATAAAGGGGTGTGGGCCATCCGGCTGCGGGGCCACCAAGACCCTGTCCCGCTCCTGAGGACGTGAGATGACAAGGCACTTCCTTCCCCCTCCTGGCCCCAGTGAGTATGCTGACCCGGATCCCCACCTGCTCCCCCTGGTTTGGCTTCCTTTGGCCCATCCTGTCCACAACCACACTACCCCCTCCACCCTGCTCCCTGCCTCCCCAAACCCCATACCGGCCCTCCTCCCCGCCACCGACCCTCCCCAGACCCCGGCCCAGCATCCCAAGCCCCTCAGGACTCTGCAGAAGAAGAGGGAAGCCACTTACTGGGTGCGCAGCCGACGCGCAGGCAGTCTGGGGGGGCCATGGGGCGGGCAGAGGGGAGGGAAGACAAAAAGGCAGAACAATTTTTTTTTTTTTACATCCTTCACAGGGAGGGGTGTCTGCGGACGGGGGTTCCCCCGGGGCCACTTTCCGGGGACCACGCGTGCCCAGGTGCCCTCTCCCCTTCCTCAGGGGGACCCTGTCCCTCCTGTCCCCAAGAGGGCTCCACCCCTCCCCAGGCTGGGAGGCGGGCAGGCAGGTGACAGGGAGGGCCTTCGTGGGAGGGCCCGGGCCTCTCCTGTCCGAGGGAGATGGCACCCTGGGAATCAGCGTACACGGGATCGCAGGGGCGCTGAGGGCTTGGCCAACCCAACACCTCCCGTCTCCGGGAGGGAGGCATGGGGCAGGCCAGCGGCCCTGCACCCCGCTCTGGGGCGGCTCCCTGCTCAGAGCCCAGGCGGTGACCGTCACTCCCCAGGTCCTCTGGGCTCTGAGCCGGAGGAGTCTGCCCCAGGCCTGCCCCGTGGCCACAAACCTCCCCGAGCCCCAGGGGGCTGCCCCTCTCCTACAGGAACCTTCCTTCTCCCTTCCTAGCCTGCGGGACGCGGGCTCACCGGCCAGAGGCCCCTCGCCCCGAAGAGGAACCGCTGTTCGTCTTCCTAGGAGCAGCCCGGCCTCACAGGGGGGACACCGAAGCACGGCTTCTGAGGGCACAGCAAGTCAGGGGCCGGCAGGCACCACAAGCCAAGTCCCCTGCCCTGCCCTGCCCTGCCCCAGCCTGCTACCCCCAACTCCAGGCTGCGGGCACCACTGGCCAGAGCACACGGTCTACGCAGAGCAGCACCCTCCCTGTGGCTCCGAGCCTCCGGCCACCCCCTTCCCCCGGGGGACACATCACCCACATGCCAGCGGACCAGGTCCGGGGAGGCCGCCCCTTCGGGCCCACCAGCAGGAGCTGCAGCCAGGAGGTAGGGAGGCTGGCCGAGACTCTGCAATGGCAGACCTGAGCCTCGGCTCCCCCACCCCCTGCTGTGAACCGAGGGCCTGAGCCAGAGGGTCCTGAGCTGGGGCAAGAAATGGGCTGTCCCTGTCCTCTCCGAGGGGGCAGTGCCCAGCCTGTGAGCAGCACTATCCTGGCATCCAGTGGCCCTGGCTCTGCCCAGACCCTCTGGACCAGGAAGCAAGGGGCGCCGGGCATCTGGCATGCCCTGGGCGGGAAGGTTCCTGCAGGGAAGGCCAACAGACTCCCCTGTGCTCCGGGGGCACGGCCCTTGGGCGGTACGCTGAGCTCCACACGCGTTGTCAACCACAGCAGAAGAGTGGGGGAGCAGCCGGGACCCTGAGCCACAGCCTGGCACCGCGGGAGTCAGGGCGGCCGGAGGCCCAGGGCAGACACGGAAGTCAGAGGCCAGGACGAGGAAGGAGGTAGAGGGAGCAGAGAGGAAAGAGGAAGAAAGGGAGCAGAGGGAAGGAGAAGCTGGACGGGGAGGGGGGGGGAAGGGGGTATGGAGGGTGCCAGGCCTGGAGTCAGGTCGCGGGGGCTCTCAGGCCAGCAGAGTCTTCACCAGTGAAGGGTCCAAAAAAGAAAAAAGGGTGGGAGGGGCCGCTGACTCCATGGGGGAGAGGCCTGGTTCTTTCCCTCCCAGCGGGGGAACGCAGGGATGGGGTCCGTCTGTCCAGAGAAGGGGTGTCAGCTCCAGTCCCACCCGCTGCAGCGGCCACACCTCAGGAGCCCCCGCCCAGTGGGGTGAGAGGGAAGCACACCCTTTGGGGATGGCCCCAGGAGGGAGCCAGCGCCATCCGGAGGAAAGCCAGGAGCGCAGTGAACGGAACGGCCTCAGGGCGCCCTCGGTGCAGGGCACAGCCCTGGGGCGTAGCTAGTCACCCACCGGCCGGTCAGGCACCTGCGCCTCAAGTCAGGGGTGGACAGGGACCGGTCTGCCCAGACACACCAGGCCCTGGCTGGACACAGAGACCAGGCGGGGAGAGGGATGTGACGGGTCGGGTGGGAGGAAGCCACCTGCGCAGGAAGGAGCCGAGGGGAAGAACCGGCTTCCCGGCCCCCTCTGACCCTGCCACCCCAGCCCCCCAGCTTGCAGGGGGCGCAGTGGGGAAGGCTGCTCTGCAAGGGGCCCCAGGAGCCACTGGCCAGTCCGCTGTCAGGAGCAGTGCCACGGAGGCAGCCCATCCAGAGCTGCGGGCCAGAGCCTGGCCGACAGGGGGAGCCGGAGAGCTGCCGAGCAGCCGCGTGGCCGTGCCCTCCAGCCGGGGCTGAAGGCTGTGGGGTGTGGCGTGTGTGAGCCTGGCTTACACCTCGAACGGGAGTTGGACTTGCTCCGTCCGGCTCGATGGGGGCAGAACCAGGTGCCCGGGCAGGGACTTGAGAAGGGGAGGCTGCGTGGAGGAAGAAGGACCGTGGCCAGCATGGCTGTCTCAGACAAGGAGCTCCTGGCACAGCGGGTCTCAGCCCAGGGGGGGCCTCCTATCTGTGGGGGGAGGCAAGGACAGTTCACATCGGGGACGGGCTGCCCGGGTGACTTCTGAGACCCTCCAGCTCTGAGATGCTTTCAGTACAATGCAAGGCGCCCTCCGAGTGTTCTCGCTGACAGCGGGGACCACATGGGCACTTCCAGGGAGGGTGGGTGAGGGACAGAAAGCCGGCTGGTGCTGCCCCAGGAGCCATGGCCAAGGCCGAAGGAACAGGGACACAGGTCACACTGAGCAGGGTGAGGAGCCTCTGCTCAGGCGGCAGGCTGCAGAGCTCCGGGACCGCCCGGGGCACCGAGGACCGGGAGGCGGGGCAGGCCGGAGGCATCGGGTCTCTGACCCCGGCCTCTGCTCTCTCTGGCCTAGCAAACACCTGGCTCCGGAGGCGGGCACAGAGTGGATGATCCCCAGCCGCCCGTCCAGTGGTCATGGCGGACCGCTCCCGCCTCCAGGCCGGCACCCAGGCTGGGCCAGGCCACTGAGTCTGGGAGCGGCATCGGCTGGCTTCCCTGCTCAACCGTCTTCTCTCCGTTCCCCAGAAGTGGTCCAGCCAGCACTGCGGCCTCGATGGTGTTGCCTGACGGGGCCAGGCAGGCCCTGCATGGCGGGCAGGATGGGGATCAGAACGGGACCCTGAGATGGGATCCTGTGGAAGGAAGCCAGCCCCCCCCGCCAGGCCCCCACCAGCTGCAGCCCACAGCCCCAGGCCTATCCCTGGGCGGTTCTCCTTCGGGAAGGCGGGTGCGTCTACCCGTGTCTCTTGCTCTGCGCGCTGTCTTCACTCCCGTTATTCCATCTCAGCCTCAGCCATCACAGAGTGGGCGGAGTGAGGACTCTCATCCCCATTCTACAGAGAGGGAAGCGGAGGCTCGGAGAGGAAATGACTTACCAGCCTTCGAGGGGACCAGGGCTAGAACCCAGATCCTCTGGCCCCATCACAGCCCGCGGCCGGGGCCGGTGTGGGCAGGCGGAGCCTGCGTGATCGCGCAGCGGCCTCACGCCGCCCTGTGCACGCATCACTTGCATTTGCGGACACATGCGTCCGCACAGGCATTTGGTCACAGCTGGTCGTGGGCCACGTCAGAGACGGCATCTCTGTGGCCGGGGCCAGGCACAGCCAGAGGCAAGGGCGCATGCAGCCTGAGGCCGCCTTGTTCTCGACCTTCTGCGTGCTCAGTCACACCAACAGGAAAGCACGCCCATGGAAGGGCAGACTCGGTCCTGAGGGCCCCAGAGTGTCTAATCAGAAGGAACCCGGGTTTCTCCGGGGGGACCTGGACCCGGTGAGGAAGCGTGTCTGCGTCCTGCCAGCGGGAGGCCCAGCACCCGCTGTTCCCACTGCGCACAGAGCGAGCAATCTCCTGTGGGCAGACCTGGGCAGCCGAGCAGCACCGGCCACTCATGGGCCCCAGGCTGGCGCCTCCTCCTGTGGCGCCTCAGAGTGCTGGGGGAGGGGGAGGGGGAGGGACCGGGAGCGCTGGCCCCAAGGCACTTCCCGTCCAGCTCCCCTGCAGCACCACCGCTGCCGCTGCCGCCACTCGGCTATGATCTGTGGTCCTGGCTAGAGGCAGAGCCTCGGGGAGCCTGAAGACAGTCAGAGGCCCCAGAGGCTCGCACACCTCCCGCTTCCGCTCCCGCCTCCGTCTGCAAAGCCTGGTCCTGATAGGAGACCAGGGGCCAGTAGTGCACGTTTATAAACAAGGTGGTGGCCCGCCTGTCCTCCCGACGCCCTGGAGACCACGTCAGCGAGACTCCAGATGGACTCTGAGAAGCTCAGAGCTGTGTTGCCTGGTCAAGGGTTCTAATCCGCTCAGGGCGGGACCCTCGGGACCCGAGCGGCCGGGACCTGCCTGCGCAGCGGGCGCCGGGTGCTACCATCTGCGCTGAGAGTGCGTCTGGGCTGGACAGATGGGACGTGGCCTGGACAGTCAGGACGCTCACTGCCAGGGCCTCCCGGCTGAAGCCCAGCGGTTTCACCCACCGCTGTGCCGGGGTGGCGGACACCTGGCCCTTACAGGGGGTCCCGGGAATGTCAGCGAGTGAGTCCCACAGCCCTCACGGTCCCGCCTGCTGACACCCAGGGCACTGCGCGGGAGGTGGCAGGGCCGGCGCGGGGCAGGGCAGAGACCCGAGCCTGATGGTGAGGCCTGGACGCTCGCACCCAGCTCTGTGAGAGGCAGTGAGGGGAGCGCCGTGCTTCAGGCAGATGCCCTGAGTCTGAGCCCGGCCCCCCGCACCCCCACGACCCCCGTCAGCGTGGCCCTGGGTCATGAATGCCACAGTCTATTAAAGGGACAGCGGCACCTATCAGACCTGGTGGCACCGCAGGGCAGCCACGGGACGCAGACGTGGCAGGTGGCGAGTCCCACGCGTCCGTGTCCACGTGCGCCTGCGCGCCAGACGCAGACACGCCGCTCAGGGGGAGCCAGTGAGGCGCTGGGAGGGTCTCAGCTCTGGATCTGCCTCTGCCCCGGGCTGGGGCGCACGGGTGCTGCCCAGAGAGTGAGCCATGGGGAGCAGCGGGCGAGGCGGCACCAGCGTGAGCTGTGGCTGTGTGCGCCAGGGACAGAGGCCGCCAAGGCCAGGTGAGCCGGGAGCAGCCCCCGGCCCCGCACACTCGGGCGGTGGTGCGGCCACGGGGTGTCCGCACAGTGCGTCCTCTGGGCTCTCACCCTCCCGCCTCCAAACCCTCACTGGGCACCACCAGCTTCTCCGGACAGAGGGGTGAGTCAGCGGCGGGGGTGGGGGTCAGCGGGGACCGGAGCTTCCCGGACAGAGGGGTGTGAGTTGGGGTGGGGTGTGTAAGGGGGGGCAGGCGTTTCTCCGGACAGAGGGGTGTGAGCCAGAGGTGGGGGGTGGTTACCGAGGTTGACCGTGAGCTTCATCTGGCCCCCGTCCAGCTCGAGGCGCAGGGTGTCGGCCGACTCCCTGGAGGTGGTGGCCATCATGAGCCCGTAGGCCCGCTGGGACATGAAGCGCAGAGACACGTCCTCCGCCTCCGTGTGCATGGCGTTCGGCAGCATGATCTTCATGTACATGGAGCCGTCGTAGCTCAGCACCGTGGCCTCTGCCCGGGAGTGGGGAGGGGAGAAAGGGGAGCAGGGAGCGGGGCAGGCAGAGGCCAGTGGAGGGAGAGAGGACGGAGTCATCACCAGGAGGACGGGCAGGCTGGTGGAGGAGGGCGGTGGGGGGGGAGGATGAGGGAGGAGGGCCGGGGAAGGGGGAGGAGGGCCGGGGAAGGGGGAGGAGGGCCGGGGATGGGAGGAGGGCCGGGGATGGGAGGAGGGCCGGGGATGGGGGAGGAGGGCCGGGGATGGGGGAAGAGGGCCGGGGATGGGAGCAGGCGGGGATGGGGGAGGAGGGGCGGGGATGGGAGGAGGGCCGGGGATGGGAGGAGGGCCGGGGATGGGAGGAGGGTCGGGGATAGGAGGAGGGCCGGGGATGGGAGGAGGGTCGGGGACAGGAGGAGGGCCGGGGATGGGAGGAGGGTCGGGGATAGGAGGAGGGCCGGGGATGGGAGGAGGGCCGGGGATGGGAGGAGGGCCGGGGATGGGAGGAGGGTCGGGGACAGGAGGAGGGCCGGGGAAGGTGGAGGAGGGCCGGGGATGGGAGGAGGGCCGGGGATGGGAGCAGGCGGGGATGGGGGGGGAGGGGCGGGGATGGGAGGAGGGCCAGGGATGGGAGGAGGGCCAGGGATGGGGGAGTAGGGCCGGGGATGGGGGAGGAGGGCCGGGGATGGGAGGAGGGCTGGGGATGGGAGGAGGGCCAGGGATGGGGGAGGAGGGCCGGGGATGGGGGAGGAGGGCCGGGGATGGGAGCAGGCGGGGATGGGAGCAGGCAGAGGGAAGGGAGGAGGGCCGGGGATGGGAGCAGGCGGGGATGGGGGAGGAGGGTCGGGGATGGGGGGAGGAGGGTCGGGGATGGGAGGAGGGCCAGGGATGGGAGGAGGGCCGGGGATGGGAGGAGGGCCGGGGATGGGGGAGGAGGGCCGGGGATGGGAGCAGGCGGGGATGGGGGAGGAGGGTCGGGGATGGGAGGAGGGCCAGGGATGGGAGGAGGGCCGGGGATGGGAGGAGGGCCGGGGATGGGAGCAGGCTGGGATGGGGAAGGAGGGCCGGGGATGGGAGGAGGGCCGGGGATGGGAGGAGGGCCAGGGATGGGAGCAGGCAGGGGGAAGGGAGGAGGGCCGGGGATGGGAGGAGGGCCGGGGATGGGAGCAGGCGGGGATGGGGGAGGAGGGCCGGGGAAGGGAGGAGGGCCGGGGATGGGAGCAGGCGGGGAAGGCCGCCTCACCTCTCTCGCAGACGCGGCCCAGGAAGCCGGTGCCCACGCAGTCGCAGACGAAGCGGTTCCAGCCCTCGCGGCAGGCGCCCCCGTTGCGGCAGGGTGCGGACGCGCACTGCTTCAGCGTCTCCCGGGAGCAGAAGGGGGCCACGCCCGCCGCCCCCTGCGCCTCGGCCAGGCCCCGCAGGTCGCGGCTCCGCCCGTCGATGAAGAGGTCCCGCACGCAGCCCACGTAGCCGGCCCGCAGCACCGCCGTCCACACCTCCGGGGGCAGCGGCATGTCCACGCGCCCCCCCTCGGGGAGGCCGCCCAGGTACAGCTCGCTCTCCAGGTCCAGGATCTCACTCTCCCCCGCGGCCAGGAACGGGGTGCTGCGGCTGTTCACCGAGATGGAGCCTAGGGGTCACCAAACAGCGGGCCTCAGCAGGCAGGACGGACGGGACGGCCAGAGAGGGTGCCGGCCTGCCTCCCCACCTGTCCTGGGGGAAGCTCAGTCTCCCTCGCCAGCTCAGACACTGTCTGACAAAGGTCCCCCAACTTCAGCTCACGTGAGCCAGCCCAGCCCGGCTGCAGGGTGAGGTCCAGACTCCTCCCTCCCCACCTGAGCAAGTCTTTGGAGGATGCACTGGAGGTAGACACACCCCAAAGGACTGGATCATTCACGGGTCATTCCCGCCCCCTCCCTTAAGCCAGGAGCTAGAGGCGCCGGTCCCTGAGGAGGTTTCCCAACTGAGCGTTCGTGACCACGTGCCAGCACTTGGCACTCTGCACGCCACACCACGTAAGCCTCAGGGACAGATAAGGCTGTCCTTCACCACCCCATGTTGCAAGGCCAGCTGGCAGCCAGGCGGGGGCGGCTGGTGCGGAGTTCCCCTCCCATAGAGGGGAGACCCGTCATCTTAGGGGAGATTTGGGCTCAGGTAGGAGCTTCAAGGCGACCACTGAGCAAGAGGAAATTAAACCGAACTTAGGCCTGGCCCGAGGGACAGGCTGCGTGTTCCGCTGTAGGAGCCCCTGGGCAGTCACGTTCACAGGGGCAGAAAGAGGTAGTGCTCGAAGGGAAAAGGAAAGGTCTGCAGATGGCTGGGAGGGGTGGTAACAGGAACATGGACGCACCCATTCCGCCACCGAACTGTACACCTAAAATGCTAAAAGGTAACTTTTAGGTTATGTATAATTTACCACTCTGCTGAAACCCGGGAATACGTCAGAGGGCTTTGCTGGAATGACCGCTCAAGCATGTGTGCTGGGTGCAGGGATGGGCCTGGGCCCCTGGGCATGGCCAGAGCTGCTCAGGGCAGTGGCCCCGGGGCCAGCCAGACCTTGTGGGTGGGCTCTGAGCTCTGGGTGAGGCCACGGAGATCACTTCCTGGAGGCCACAGCGAGCAGGAGGCCGGGAGTCCCGGCAGCTTTCCAACCTAAAGGGCCACTGTCCAGCCGTGTGGAGACACCGGGAGCCCTGCCCTGAGGGAGAGGCAGACCCAGCTAACAGCCCATGAAGGGCGGACACTTCCGGGGCCATGGCAGCCCGTCACCCTACGGAGACACACTGGAGGATGCACTGGAGGTAGACACACAGCCTAGCGTGGTGGCAGCCGGGGAGCGCGACACCGCAGCTGATGTGGATGGGGCTTACACTGGATAATATGTCCGTCTCACGGACATCAGCTCTCCCTTTCCCAGATAATTCTCTCGTATTCGACAAGATGAATTAGGCAGAAGACAAGATGAGGGTGGGCAGGAGGACTGAGGTGACACGTGAAGGCGAGGGGAGCTAAAAGCAACAGGAGTTTCAAGACAGCAGGCTCTGCTCTGCACCTTCCCTGTGCTGAGTCCTCACTGGGGCCACTGTCAGCTCCCCACCCCCACCCCCCAGTGCCCTGCGCCCCCAGAACAGCTGTGACAGCAAAGACTCTCGTTCATGCGCCCTCTGCTCCAGCACCTTGGACAGCGCCCAGCGTGCCAGCAGCTGTGCTGTTAATATTTCTAAAGTGAATTAATAAAAGAAAACTGAATGGGTCTGGACAGTGGCAGGCTGCTGGGAATAGTTCTTAGGGGAGAGAGATAGCACACTGTGGGAGGCCCTGTGCTGAGGCCTTTACAGGGTCCTGTCATTTTCTCTTGATGGGCGACGGGCCTGAAGTCAGCCACACAGTAGTGAAAGGGCGGAGGTGTGACCCCAGGTCTCCACCACGCCCCCCGCAGGACAGGAGTGACAGTGCAGGGCAGGGATGCCAGTGAGGGAGACGCAGGATGAGTTGGGGAAACTAGGACAGAAGGGGCCTGGGAGGATGAGGGTCAGGGCCAGGAGCGGCCAGGGTGGGAGAGGGCAGGGGGCTCCCACCTTTGCGCCCGTCCCTCTGGAAGTCCACGTGGCACCACTCGCCGTCGTTGACCTTGCGGCTGGACGCCCGCAGCTTGATGCCTCCAGAGCCCATGTCCAGCAGGAGGTAGAGGTAGCCGTCCAACAGCTCCATGGCGAAGTAGTCGGCCCGCGGGGCGGCGCCGAGGCTGCTGGCCCCCGCCCCGGCCCCGGCCCGCCGGCCCTGGCTGAAGAGCAGCAGCCCGTTGGCCTCGGTGGTGCGGAAGTCCAGGGAGATGGAGCCGGTGCGCTTGGCGCTCCAGCGGGGCAGCGCCACGAACGCCTCGGGGCTCTCAAAGGTCACGGGGTCCAGGGCGGCCACGTCCTCACAGCGGAAGGACAGGTCCCCCTGCAGCTTCATCTTGGGGTCCCCTTCCTTCGCCAGGCGGGACAGCTCCAGTTTGAAGTCGTTATTCTTGTAGACCACCTGCGGGGAGGGGGGGAGGGATGGAGATGTGGAGCGGCCGGGCTGGCCCGTCTGCCCAGCACCGTGGGCCCTGGCCCAGCCCTGGGGGCCCTGCTCCGCTCCACCGGACCACGGCGTGGCCTCTGTTCTAGAACCACACACACAGGCTGTGAGCACGCCCCCCGCGCCCCACGCTCAGTCCTGCCTTCCTGCCCAGCTCTGCAGTGAGGCAACAGCGGCCAGTCAGAGCCACCCCGGTGACACCTCCCAGCTCTGTCTTCTCCTTTGCACTCTCCTCTCACCCACCACCACGGCAGGTGCTCATCTTACTGGGGAGCAAGCGAAGAGCTGGCCAGGTCGGGGCACTTGGCCAAGGGCACAGAGCAGAGAGCGGAGAGCTGGGACCCAGCCACGGGGGCTGAGTCTTCACAGCCAGCAGCTGCTCAAGGTCCCCGGAGAGGATGTGAGGGAGAGGCCGCTGGGCGGGGTCGATGGCCTCGGGTTTTGAAAAGAGGAGGACGAGCAGGCACGGAGGCGGGAGGCTGGCCAGCGCAGACCACATCACACGGGGCGGCGAGCGCTCGGGGCAGCCCGGCCGGCCCGGCTACTCACGTCCTTGAGGCAGCCCATGAAGTTGTTGCTGACGGGCGAGCCCGGCAGGTCGGCGGTGTTGGGGCTGCCCCCGATGTAGAAGAAGTCGTCGGAGCCCAGCATGGTGTAGTCCTCCTGCGTGTAGCCCGTGGTGGTCAGGATCCCGTCCACCGAGATGGTCACCTGCCCGGCCCAGGGCGGGAGGGAGAGACAAGGAGACAACCGGCATCAACTCCCTGGGGAGAGCCGAGGGCTGGGCAAGGGAGGGGCCGGGGGGCAGTGGGGGAGGGGGCCGGACCCCCCATTTTTATGTCTGCTTGTCTCAGAGGAGGAACAGTGGGGGGGGGGGAGGGGGAGGGAGGGAGGAGGCAGCACAAGATTGGATGGTCCCAGGGTGGGCAGAGGCCTGAGGGTACGGGAGCGCTCTCCGGAACCAGTTCCTGGATTGGCTCCGAACGGGAGCGGGCACCCCAGGTCAGGGCTCCAGGATGGGGGATGCTAAGGGCACCCTCAGGCCCTTCCTCCTGAGGGTGCTCTCTGGACCCGCATGCGACTGGCAGAGACCCAGTTTCTCCCCCCCCCCCCATCTTGGCGGCTCCAACTCCCTGCAGCTCCCCCCTCCTGCCCCAGGGCGCTGAGGAGCCTTCCAGCCTCAGCCAGTAGGGCGGTGGCAGCGAGCAAGGGCACGAGGAGCAGAACCGAGACATTCCTGAGCCTTGGAGCCTCCGGAGTGAGGGGAGCGGGGGTGGGGGGCAGAGCATCCTCAGCGCCGATGCCCACCACTACACCCCTTTCCTGAGCCTCTTACGCCCAGATCCCTCCACCCAGGTCCCTCGTCTCCCAAGGAGAGGGCAGCGCTTTACTGACCCAGCTGCCTTTCCCTCCGTCTTCCCAACCGAGGCCACCGTCACTCTAGGGGCCAGGCCAGGTTAGAGCAGAAGGGGGGCAGGGCTCACCCAGGACACTTGGCCGTGGGCGAAAAGTCAGGGAGAAAAGGATGGGCCGCCTGGTACTCCAGGGGGTGAGAGGGGCACAGTGGCCGGGGAGCAGTGATCTCGGGGAGAGTGGCAACGCAGGGAACTCTCAGACTGCCCCTCCTCAGCCAATCCCACCCCCACCCCGCCCCCTGCTTTAGGACAATCAGCTGGCAAGTCACCCCTCTTCCCACTCCCCTAAAGTGCTTCAGCACCCCCTTTTCCGGCAAAGTCTGGAGATGGGGGCCTCCCAGTCCCACCTGTACCAGTCCACCTGCACAGGCCACCAGCCAGCTTCCAGGGACTGGTCTCCGGAGGCCATGGTCGTGGGCAGGCATAGTGTTAGGACTCCTGAGGGACATGAGCAGAAGGGAGCAGGGGACTACCCCCCAGGACCCCGAGTCCCCGCCTGCGGAGCTGGAGCCTTCCGGTGGGGGGCGTGCAGGCTGATCAAAACCCGGGCGCAGGGCCCTCCTGGGAACCATCGAACCTTGTGCTGAGGATCTAGGTTCAGGGCAGATGGAAAGGGGTATCTCTGAGGGAGGAGGAGGGGTGAAAGCGTCAGAGTCTTGCTTGGAGGGGAGGGCTGGTCTTTATTGTTTATTTCTTCTTCCCTCCCTCCCACCTGAGGCTGGGCGGTGGGGGTCTGGGTGGGGAAGGGAAGGGTCAGAGTATTAGTCACAAAGACATGCAGACAAGGTTAGACAGGGCAGAGGGGCTGGAGGGACGGAAGGAGGGGGCTGGGCTGAAGGGTGGGGAAGACAGGAAGGGGTGGCAGGTGCAGGGGTCTCCCTGGACAAACTCCGCTCCCTCCCGCCCTCCACCTGCACGTCGGACTGGGCCACTAGTTAGTTCCTGAGCGTCCATCTGGCCACCCCAAATAGACAGTCAGCCCTGAAGGATGGGCTCCCGGCCCTGCCGGCGTGGCTGAGGGATTGAGTGTCAACCTATGAACCCAGGAGGTCACGGTTCAACTCCCGGTCAGGGCACGTGGCCGAGTTGCTGGCTCCTTGCAGGAGGCAGCCGATCAATGCTTCTCTCTCATCACTGATGTTTCTATCTCTCCCTCTCCCTTCCTCTCTGAAATCAGCAAAACACTTTTTTTTTCTTTATTAAAGAAGAATGGGCACCCTGTAACCCCACCAATCCCAGCGAGGGCCAGGGACACATCACAGTCATCCTCAGGGCCGATGCCCACCACTATACCCCTTTCCTGAGTCTCGTACACCCAAGCTGAAAGTGAACATCAAGTCACCTCAGACCAGGGCCACAGCCTGTGTACCATCTATTCGCCCTCCGCCTCGGGGGCCTAAGCCCCTGGTGGGCAGAGCCTCAGTCCTCCAGAACTGCTGGAACCAGGCACCCCTGTTTCTGTGGGGGGCGGCAGGGCCTGCCCAGCCCCAAAGCTCCCCAGGAACAGGCTCATCTGGCCCTGTCAGTACCCTCAGCTTCCAGCCCGCCCGGCACTGCGCTGTCCCGGCCCCGGCCTGGAAGCCAGGCACCAGCTGCAGCATCTTCTCCCCTCGGCGGGCTTTCCTGGGCCCGGCCCCTGCCTTCGCCCTCGGAGTTATAAGGACCTGACTGGAGGGGAGGGGAGAGGGTGCCCTCCTCCACTCTCCTGCAGACTGGGTGCACATCTGACCTTGCCCCCAGCTTTATGCCATGCGATGCCCCCTAGTAGAATAGGGTGGCCTTAATCACCCTCCTATCTGTGCCCCACATTCACCACTATTTCTGTAGCGCAGCCCTGGCCCAGGGGGTGGAAGAGAGGGTAGGAGGGTGGGGAGCACCAGGAGATTCGTGGAGGAAGGGGGGTCAGCTGGGGTGGGGAAGGAGAGGAAGTGGGGGCGGGCACTGGTGGGAAGGAAGCCAAGGGCAGGGGAATGGAGGGAGGTCTCAGGAAGGCAAGGAGGGAGATGACGGATTAGTAAACCCAACTGTCTCCTCAGACAAACCAAAGTCCAGACACAAAAATGGTGGGTTTGTTAGTAAAAGCAGGAAACAGGGGACTCGGTCCCCTGTCCCCCTCCACCCTGGGGTTCAGGATGCCCCTGCCCCCCAGCCCCCCCGCACAGCTTCTGGAGGGGTAGGGCCGGCGGGGAGGAGGCAGGGGGGGCATGCCACACAGAACAGCCACTGCATCGAGGGCGCATGCGGGTTAGAGGGCCAGGGGGGCGGGCCCAGCAGGAGACAGAGCACAGCCACCGTGAGAAGGCATGCACTCCAGGCCGGGAGATGGGGAAGCAGAGATGGAGGCTAAAGAGCGGAGGGGACAGGAAGGAGACGCTTCCTTCCGGCAGAGGAGGGGAGGGGCCCCACTAGGACATCCCTGTGGGCCGAGAAAGCAAGGGAGGGGGCATGAGACTCAGACCTTCCCCACCAGAGGGTGCCCAGGCGCTCACGCCCACGGCCCACACACCACTCCTCACAGACCCCAGACACGCCTGTCATACACACACACACACACACACACACACACACACACATCCCACCCACTGGCGGCAGGCAGAGGGGAGGGCTCGGTGGACTCATTTCCAACCAGCATCCTTTCCGTCGGCAGGACCACGGCCAGGGCCCCAAGACACAGCGCAGACACAGCATCCAACCCAGACCGCCCGCTCAGCCAGGCCCCTCCACACAGACAGGCGGGCCTGAGGCAGCCAGAAGGAAGGGGCCACAGGTCTGCCCCAAAGAGCCGTGCCCAGCCAGGGAACCGAGTGGGGAGCACCGAAGACCCAGGAGCCCAGCGCCCAGCCACCCAGCCCCGGCTCCACTTCCCGGGGGCAGGGAGGGTGGCGAGAGGTGCTACAAGGGATGGGAGGGCTCTCTGCCCTCCCCACTGTCCACTGACCTCCCCTCCCCTCTGCTCAGCTTGGCTCCCTGCACGTGGGCAGGCTGGTACGATGTAAAACCAGGCCCTGACCACAAACACCCGTCCCCCATGGCCACGCCCCAGGAGGGAAGGCAGGCAGAGCGGGAGCCCCCCTGGCACCATGCGGCGCCCTCCTCAGCTCCCTGTGTGACCACAGGGCCCCAGCCTGGACCCGGGCTCCGGGGAGAGCAGGACAGTGAGAGCGTGCTCTGAAGGTGGGGGCCGAATGGGCCTTGGGGAGTCAGGACGCCCCTTGGCGTGTGGGCAGCACTGAGTCACCGGGCACTTGCTTTTCTGGGAGATGTCACTTCTGTGTCATCAGGTCCTCAGGGCTCCGGGAGCCAAGGTGGCTCACCCGGAACTGACGGGGCGGGGCCGGAGGGCCGGGAGGACCTCGGAGGGAGGCGAGGCCCGCTGCACGCAGGCGCTTAGCCGTCTGTGTGGGATGGGGAGAAACTGGTTGGGAAGACACCCAGGGAAGATGGCCCAGCCGGCAGTGACAGCCCCACGGTCCATCCTGGCATCTGGATTTGAGGCACAGAAACTTCAGGTCAGAAACCCTGAGGCCCTTCGCCTCCGCCATTTTTCAAACAACCCATTCTCCCTCTCGGACTCTCAGCTGTAAAAGGCGGGTAACCACCCCATCACTCGCCTCCTCCCAGGCTGACTGAGGCTCACAGAAATGAGAGCACCAGGATTTCCCGTCACCGGCCGGGTGAGCCCACGCTTCCCCTGGGCCTCAGTTTCCCCATCTACTAACTGGGAGTGATCTCTGCCTGCAATCTAGACATCCACGGAGTTTAAATTATATTCAAAAAGTGAGAGCTATTTGGAGGAACCAAGGCCCCTGGTGTGTGTACAAAGAACTATTTTTCTTTTTACAAGAAAATATCCATCGATCCGACCACATCTGATCCAAACCTCTCAACTGGTTTCACCCTCTCCCCCAGGGAGAAATGTTCAAATAGCAGGAAAAGAGTTAATAAAAATAATTAACTCCATCTCTCGGAGCCCCACTCTCTGGCTCCCTGGGACAGATTTATCGGGGTTCACAAGGTCACCCGAGGCAACAGCTCCGATCCCCGATCCCCAACAGCGATGCTGGCACCGGGGAGCGAAGACTTTAGCCAGGGGGAAGCCACTCGGGTTCTATGCTTCGTAACCAGCTTGCTCACCCCGTCTCTCCTCCTCCCAGACCCCATTCCTGAGGCATTCTGGGGTTTCACACAGTTCCTTTAGGACTGATTCCTAAGGGATGGGAACAGGGTGTCGGGTCGGGGAGCGATCGTACGCTCCAGGGGTGCTGTGGGGAGGGAACTGCATCTTTACAAAACACCCTGCCCTGGCCACACTGAGTGTCAGTCAGCATCTTAAAAGCTTCATACAGTACATGTGCTTTCGCATGCATGACCCCTCCTGATCTTCCACTGGCCCCAGGAAACAGACCACACAGGTGTGTCGTCAGACCGGTGGGTACCTGAACTCCAGCCCAGGTCACATGGTCCATTTTTAACTGAACTGAGACGGGAAGGAAGGTCTGCAGGGCCCTGGCTCTCAGATGGCATTCCCCAGGAGCCGGGGCTGTGCTCTCAGGCTGATCCCGCCTCCCTCTGTCCCAGGAGGCGCTATACAGAGTTCCTGACAGTACTCGGTGGCCGGCCTGGGGGTGGGCAGCAGCTAAACCCTGAGCAGCAGCTGGGGAGCCGAGACTGGGAGGGGGGGTGCTGGGACCACGAGTGGCTCAATTTAAACATGGAACGACTGGGTGTGACCAGGTGAGACCTCTGCTTGGGAGAGCTGGGATGGCTATAGGCAGGGCCCGGCTCAGGGCTGAGCAGAGGGCAGGCTGCCGGAGTCCGCGGTGCAGGGAAGCACAGACCCGCGAGAGCAGCAGGACCAGCCACATGCGGCCTCAGAGGTAGGGCCTCCCGGGGAGGTGGGGAGCCTAGTTATCCTGCTTCCCACCCCGCCAGCCCAGCACCACACAAACCTGGGGGCGGAGGCCAGGCCGCTGCCCCACGCAGCGTGGGCCCCGTGGGAGCAGACAGTCCACCCGAGGGCGCTCAGTCCCTCTGCATTATTAATAGGCGATGACTAACCGCCTGCCCCCGCAGAGCCCAGCCCGGCAGGCAGGAGGGAATCCCAGGGGATGGCGCCTCGGGCCTGCAGGCACACAAGCCAGGCGGCCTGCCCCGGCCCACACACACCTCCACGCTGCGCCCGCCCCAGGCCCCCCCCCCAACATACACACACGCAGTCACATGGCCCCGGCTCACACTGGCATTTACACATGGCGCGTCCCCAGAGAATCCCACAAACACAGCGCACAGCCTCCCACTCACACCCCCATGACACGACAGCATTTACACACACGCGCACCCACACACCGACACACACCGGCTGCGTTTATCCACACACCACGCCCGCACTCACCGGGACTGAGTCCAACCCAAACAGAGGAGCTTGGCGACAAGCACCCCAACTTCACCCCCGCCGGGCCTCCTCCTCTCGCCCCTCCACAGGGAAGGAAGCGGCCCCAGGCAGAGGCCGTGCGGGACAGGCGGGTGACAGAGCGCGGGAGAGATGGAGGGGAGGAGACGGTGAGAAACACGGTGTTAGTCAGAGCGGCAGAGCTGTGGGGGACTGGACGCTGTCCCTGGTGCGGAAAGACCACTCGTGCCATGCAGATGTGGGGGAAGGCGGGACCAGGAGCCCTCGAGGTTGAGAAGCGAAGGTAGGGATGTCACCTCTCCCCTGGCAGCCAGCAGGGGGCAGCCCCCAAACTGGTATGCACTGGTGATTGGAAGGAGCAGTCTGGACTGGTCCCAGGCTGCTGTGCACCTCCCAGGCCACTTTTGCCCCCTTCAGGGAGCCTGTCCGGCTGGCTGCCACTGGAGGTCGCACCCCAGCCCCCTCCTCCAACTCGAGGGACCCGTCCAGGAGTGACGGTGAGCAGAGCGGAGCATGTCATGGGATGGTGTTTTCCATGGATTTTCAGGAGACCAAGAAAGAAACTAAATCAAAGAGGGGGGGAAAAACGAGGGAGGGGGGAAATGAACAAAACAAAGCAATAGAAAGAAGCAGCCTGGCATCGGGGCTGGTCTAACCAGAGCCGATGAGCACGGGCCTGCCCCAGGCCCCTCTGGCCGGGAATCTGAAGTCAGGAGTCGGGGCGTTAGGGCAGGGACAGGCCAAATTCCTCGATTTCCATTTGTCTTTTGGATTTGAGTTTGGACCAAAAACGAAACAAAAGGGAAGGAGGAAAACTAAAGGAGAAGCAAAAAATCTAAAAGGAAGAGCAAAACAACCAAAATCAAACAGGGGAAGGAAACAAAAGAGGGAGAATCGAACAGTTAAAAAAACCCACGGCAAACCAAACGGTAAGACAATTAGAGTGATATCTACCAGATAATGCAGTTTGTTTACCATAGCGTGTCCAATCCCTGCGTGCTTCACCGGAGATGTGGGGGAGGGGCGGGGTCAAAGAAAACAAAACAACGAAGACGACAACAAAAGAACAGAACGAAAGAAAAGGAAAATAAAATGACCAACTGTGAAACTCAAGGAAGGAGGAGAAATATATGCCCACATATCGTCGGTGGTTTGCTCGGACCCGCCCACCTCATGATGGGAAGGAGAGATCAAACACACCCAAACATTGACCCCCTCTCCTCCCAGTCCGCCCCCTCCCCTCCTCTGGCTCCCTCTCCCCAATCCCCTCCCGGAGGAAGAGCCTGCTGTGGAGAAGGGGAACAGTTAGAGACCTTGGTTAGTAGAGAAGAAAACAACAAAAGAACTGGACCGAGAAAGCAAAGACTTAAAGATGGCCGACATTCCGCAGATGAGACAAAGGTTAGTTCAGTCTTTCACGCATACCTTGCCCCACCTGTCCCTGCCCATCCCTTGGTCCCCCGGGTTATAAGCGTGTTAGTAACACACACAGAGTCGGCAAGGGGGGTTTTCCAACAGAGGGTGAAAGGGCAGGCAGGGGGTTAAGAAGCAGACCCACTTATGCAGTATTAGTACATCCTTCCGGCTGAAATGTTAGGACGTTGAGGGGAAGTGGGGGAGGGGAGCAAGGGGTGTGAGAAAGGGATGGACTGTTATTGCCTTGGGTCATGGACGGGTGGGTTGGTTGGCTAACTGGTCAACCAGACGGCTTTCCAGAGAACTGGCTGAAGGGCAAGTTGGTGCCGGCCAACTGGCTGACCAATGACCATGTTGCGTTGATGGGTTAACTGTTCGGAGGTGGGCCAGCAGGCGGCCAGGCTGGGAGAGGAGTAGCCAGCACCCCTAGAGGATCACGGGAGTGGCGAGGATGAGGGGTGACTTCATCTGGGGACACAGGGAAGGGCTGCCAGGGGCTAGGAGGGATATGGTTGTCTGCTTTTCCTGAGGATGGAGGACAGGCAGCTAGATCCGGGGAACCAGGGACAGGTTCGCCCTAGTTCCTTAAAAAGGAAGAGAGAGTGAGCTGTCACCAGAACGAGGAACAGGAAGCTTGCCCTCCATGGGCTGGTAGAGGGCTCACTCTAAAATCACATCTAATCATCCCGTCTCCCCCTCCCCCTCCCCTCTCCCACCTTCCAGCCTAACTTGACTTTGCCGAGCCCACATTCCCCAAAGAAGTCCCCCGGGTTCTTCAACCACTCCACCCCCAATTCCCTCATGCTCCTGGGGCAGCTGCCCCTCCCAGAATTAAGTGCCCACCACCACCGCCCCTGCAAGCTGGTAAGGCTTTCCCAGCAGCCCAGCTCCCTTCCATGCCCACCCACAGACCCCTGAGCCTCCACTGCCCACAGCCAGAACTGGAAATTCACCCCCTCCACGCCGTGTACCTCTAAAACCCCTTACTCCTCCCTCAGCCAGAAACCAGCTTCTTCTATCCCCACGGTCATTATCTCTTCCGGCCAAAGGTGGCAGCAACCGCCACCTTGGAAATCACCCTGGTCTGTCGGGGGAGATGGCAAGGGGCGGAGGCAGCTTCACGTTCCAGCACCAGGTGGGGGGACACCACTACTTGATGCCCATTAAATACCAAATGCGTGCCCGAGAGGGTGGTTGTGAGGACAAGTATCCCCGGGACAGATCCATTAGAGAGCTATGATAACCAGTGGGCACAGGGCTAATTCAGGAACACAATTAATAAGGGCCTCGCGTAATTAAAAATAACAGAATTCAATATCTAGCAGCGAGAAGTGCTGAATAACCAATATTAATTGTCAGTGAGCAGGAGGACGAGATCTAACTGCGGGCAGGGCTGGCGCGCGGGGAGAGGGGGCAATGCCAGGGCCGGGGCTACCGGACGGCAGGACTGTTGTGAAGCCAAGAGACCAACTAGTCGGAGGGAGGAGCCAGCTTCAGGGCAGCTAAACAATTCACCCAAAAAGGAAAGAGTCGCCTGGGGTCGCGGCACTCGTCCAACAGGCAGAGAAGAGGCATCGGAGGGGAGAGGCAGCTGCTGCTCTTTTTGAATTGGAACTGGCTGTGGAAACTAAAATTAAAAACTTCCAGCTTTCGTGGACAACCTGCTTTTAGCAAACAGAAGAGCAAATTCAGAAACAAGCTTAAGAGGGAAGAGAGATGCCTGACCGTGTGGCTCAGTGGTGGAGCGTTGACCTATGAACCAGGAGGTCACAGGTCCATTCCAGAAAGGGCACAAGCCCAGGGTGTGGGCTCCATCCCCAGTGTGGAGTGTGCAGGAGGCACCTGATCAATGATTCTCTCTCATCATTGATGTTTCTCCCTCTCTCCTTCTCCCTTTCTCCCTGAAATAAATAAAAATACATTTTTTTAAAAAAAAGAAAAGATGTGAGTTCTAAGCCTGGGCCTTCCACTAAGGTGTCCAGGGATCCAAACTTCCTCTGAAAGGCTGGAGCGAGTGACAGGGGGCCCCTCTAGACTTAGGGATCGGGGATTCAGAACCCAGTCCATGGAGATCATGCCAGAGGGGCGATGATGGCAAATACTGGAGTGGAGCTCCCTCTGGATCCCATTCCTATGACATGGCAACCCGTGCCTTCCCAATGGCAGCTCCCAGAGGGAACCTCAGACTAACAGAGGGAAGGGAAGGGTTTTCCCACTCACAGGACCCATGCAGGAGCCCGGGGTGGGCGAGGCCCGGGATGGGCGGGAGCACGGGATGGCAGCTCGAGAGAGAGGACACCAAGTCACAGAGGGGAGAAGCCGGTCAATACATCACATCTAACTTCTCATGGTCAAGGGCCTCTGCCAAAACTACACCCCGCCCACAACTTGCACTCTGAGTGTAGCCCCAGCCCTCCCAGAAGCCCAGAGGGGATTTCACACAAAAGTCACAAAAGTCGGCAAGAAGGCAACCTCCGTGGAGCTCGAGCCAGAAAAGCTCAGGACAAAGCAAAGAGCGGCCTGCTTGCTCCTCGCAGGGCTGACTGGGCCGATATCCCAGAGACAGGCAGACACTCGATGGTTTCAAGATCTGAGAACCACCCAGAGGGGCAGGACCCCAAGGACTAGAGCCACCTCGCCTTCTGCACCACTGACAGCACCAGGCAGAGAATTGCAGGGGCTGTGGAGTCGGGTGACTTCCGAGCCACCACGTCCTACCTGAGTCGCTTTGGGCAAGGTGCCCTCCTCGGTTACATGGGAGCACCTCCCACTCACAGGGCTGTTAGAAAACTCCAGGAGATTCCAAAGAGAAACCAGACCCTTGAACTCGAGGGAGGGCTGGCGGAGAGTGGTGTGTGCACTTGGAGGAGGAGGAGGTAGAAAGGGGGCCAGGGTCTCGGGAAGTCAGAGCGGGGTGGGGGCCTTCCTCCTGGCTCCGGGAAGCGAGGGGGAGTCTTCCCCGGAGGGCGGAGGGTAGTTGGAGGCCCGTGTGAAACAGATCTACTGGGTCCTTTTGTCCGAGACTCACCAACTGCCCTCAAGAAAGAGCCCAGTGAACCAGAAAAGAAAAAAACAACTAGAAAGACAGCTGAAGAGACAGTAGCTGCTGGCATTAGGCCCTCAAGGAGCTTTCCACCTGGAATAGAGAAAAGAAATGATCGCAAATGCTGCCCATTCAGACAGCACGTGGTGATGGCGCTAGGACACGGCAAAGAACAGAGCCTGGCGGGTGGGGGCACCAAGGACGCGGCACGCAGCCAGGCCCAAGGGGTGAAGGCCCACAGCTCAATGGGGGCAGAGAGCCCGTTGGTGTCAGTGCCCGAGGGCCAGGCCTGTGCTCTGGGGGTCACTGCGGGCAGCAGAGGCTCCCCTTGCCCATGAGGAGCTGCCGCAGAGGTAAACTTTCCTCCAGGCTCTGGAACAGGGGGTGGAGCTGAGGTTGGAACCCAGCCTGCCTGGCTCAAGCCCCACCCTGGGGGGTGAAGGGGCTGTCAGTGGGAGCCCTGTGGGAACACAGGGGGAGCTGCGGAGCCTCGGAGATGGAGTGCCCGGAGTGGCACAGTTAGATCCTTAGACAGCCTGTGAGCGGCCAGAGAAAAAGATGGCCTGGGCCGGAAGGTGGGGGAGGGAGCCCCAAATGCCTGGAGGACCCTATTTTGGGGGAACTGCCTCCTTGGGGCCGGAAGCTCCTGGAAGACTCTGCACTGAGAAGCAGCCTGAGGGAGCTGGGCAGGGCGGCACCACGTGATGCATTGGGAGGCAGCTTGTCGTCCAAATCTGGCGCTGGCTAATGATGAAGTGGTTTCACGGTGGGCGTGGTGGGGGAGGAATGCGTGTCCGGGAGGAGAGGGAGGCAGGATTAAACTAGACCCTGGGGAGTTCTCAAAGGCAAGCATTCCTGCAGAGATCCCTGGAGACACCTCCGGTCCCAGTGGCCTCAGGCGGGTTCGGAGGGAGAGGAAGGCAAGAGCAGGCGCTGTCTCAGCCAGGCCTCCCCCATCCTGGCACCAGTCCTAGGGCCTCCTGACGGTCTCAGGGAGGGTTATCCAGTTTGAGGGGGAAGCGGGGGAGATCTGCCTCCTTCCCGTCTTGGGAGCTGGCTTCTCGGTGTCGTTCTGGGGCTGGCCCTCCCCGAGATGGCCTTCTAACCACTCGGGGAAGCCGGTGCTCCCAGGCCCTGCCATGGACCCGGACGGGAGGGAGAGGTCACAGAGAATAGGGGCCCGACTGCGAGAGGCAGCGGAGGCTGGGAAGGAGCAGCAGGAGGACCCCCGGGAGGACACTGTGAGGGCGGCACTCCGCTCAAGAGGACCGGGTAAGAAGACTGAGAGGTCAGCCGGAAGTCGACCCCACAGACGAGCCTTTCGAGGGAGGAAGGGGAGGAGGAGGAGGAGGGGAGGACGATGCTGAAGAGGAGAAACCACGAAGGCTGGCCACACAACCAGAGGCACAACTAGTAAGAGAAGGACTAAACCAGGAGAGAGTTGCGCTGGCTGCACTCGGGGATGGGGGGAGGGGCCGGAAACCTTCACCACCATCAGTGAGAGAGAGAGAGAAAGCAAGGACCCGAGAGAGGCCAGCAAAGGCCTGGTCTCCGAGCAGCGGGGAAAGGAGACAGGAGGCGGAGGCAGGTGCACGTGGCCTCTCCTGCTGGCACAGGGTGTGGTGTGGGCCCCGGATGAGGCTGGGTACAAGCCGCGGGAGCTGCTGTCGAGCAGAAGCCTGGCCAGAGAGGGCCCCCCGAGAGGCAACGTGGCTGCTGCTAAGAGGACGGAGCTGATGCCCACGAAGGTCAGGGCCTCTCCAGGGTGAGCCTGGGAGCAGAAGCTGAGGGGACATGTGGAGAAGAGCCTCTCCTGCCTGCAGGGGGCGACCCAAGAGGCTCCTCTGAGCCCTGCCCATGGACTGCGCCCCAGGAGACGGGAGACGGCCTGGCCATGGCCGTGGGAGAGCTGGGCCCTTCGGGGGGACTGGGCGGGGAAAGAGAAGGGAGAACACTGCCCGGAGGAGAGGTGGCACCAAGGTCCTGTCCTGCTCCCTCACGCACCTGCTGCACCTCCGCCCCTCCCTGCCTTCCTAGAGTGCCCCCTTCCCCCGCCCTGGAGCAGGCCACACTGCGGCCACACACACCTCCTTTCGCCTGTGCCCCCGCCCAGTGCCCGGACACCGGGGCCACTCCACCAGGCCAGGGCCCCCCACCCAGGCGCTATCTCATTCCTCCCAGCTCCCGCATCGCCTTTCTGCCAGCCCTGCCGTCCCCCAGACCCCTGCCCGGCATCTCTCCAGCGCCTCCCTAGCCCCACGCCCGGTCTTGGAAGCTACTGCCACCCCCAGGCACTCCCCATGCTGAGCCTTGCCCTTCGGCCCCACTCCTGGACGCCCTCCCCCCGTGTGCCCCACGCCTCGGCCCGGCCTCCCTCCCGCTCCCCTACCTGGCGCAGGTTTCGGGTGACCCGCACGTCGTGCCAGGCGTTGTCGTTGAACTTGCCGTTGACGGGTTCCACGAGGGCCTCGAAGGCGCCCGAGCCCAGGTTGATGACCAGCCAGACGGCGCCGGACTTGAGGGACAGGTTGACGTAGTCGGCCGACTTGCCGGTGTGCAGCATGAGCCCGTTGCGCTGCAGCGTGCGGAAGGCCAGCGTGATCTCGTCGGTGCTGCTCTGGATCGGGTTGTGGGACAGGTCGTAGCAGAAGAACTCGTTGCCCTTGAAGGTCGCCACGAACTCCTCCTTGCCTGGACGCGGGCGTGGGGAGAGGGGAGAGGCTGAGTGGGACGGGGTGTGCCAGGCCGCCCTGCTCCCCTCCGCAGCCCCGGCCCCCGGGCCTGACTGCCAGCTCTCAGCCTGGCCACCCACCTTCCCGCCCTGTCACCTCTGCTGTCAGTCAGCTCCCGTGCCCCTTTCCTGGCAGGCGGCTGCTAAGTGCTTCTCACACTGACAGCTGACAATTAGGCTGCCATGGGCCAGGCAAAGCAGACTCCTGGCTGTCTCCTCCCCCAGCCTCCAGTCAGCCAGTCCCTCCCCCTGGCGGAGGGATGTGGAGACCAGGAGGCTCCACCTGATCTCCCCCATACTGGGAGCCCTGTCCGGCTCCACCTGATCTCCCCCATGCTGGGAGCCCTGTCCGGCTCCACCTGATCTCCCCCATACTGGGAGCCCTGTCCGGCTCCACCTGATCTCCCCCGGTGCTGGGAGCCCTGTCCGGCTCCACCTGATCTCCCCCGGTGCTGGGAGCCCTGTCCGGTGAGCAGCCCCCTCCCCTCCTGCCTTCCTGCTGAAGGCGACCGTTCTCAGCCCAGGGGCGTTGCAGGCCTCCCCATTAGGGAGGAGCTAGGAGGAACGGGAAGCGGTGCGGTGGGGGTGCAGCGGGGGGCGCAGGAAGGCAATGCCGGTGACAGGGGTGTGCACCAGGTAGCAGGCCGTGGGCAGGGCTGACCCGGTGGCTCTCCTGCCAGCTCTCACCCTCCAGCTTCCCACTCCACCTCAGAGGGCAGCATAGGGGGGCCCTTAGGGACAGCCTCTGGAACCCCAGAGGACAGGTGTGAGACCCCACAGACCAGGCAGGTGGCTAGGGGTGAAAGTGCAAGGGCAGGCCTGGCTCTCATGGGTGTGCATGTATGTATGCGTGTGTGTGAGTGTGTGTGTGTGTGTGTGTGTGTGTGAGCATGCACACACTGGTCTCTTTCCACAGCACTTTCTAAGCAGAAGCAAAAATGACTGGAGAGGCTTAGGGATGCTTAGCGTTCTCGAAGTGGATGACAAGTGAGAGGTCAACGGCTCGAGGGAGGGGAGTTGGGGTCCAAGCCCCACAGCTCCACAAGCCAGAGCCCACGCGGAGGGTAGAGAAGGGGGCATGGAGGCAGGGAGGGCAGAGAACCTGGACCCTGACGGCGATTCTCTTCCCCTCTCAGCGAACAGCTGGCCCGGCCACCGCAGGAACAAGATTGCCGGCAAAAGGCCTTACGGAGTGTGGGGGTCCTCGGCACAGGCCCCCAGGGCTGGCAGGAGCGAGGCCCGGGGCTGGGGGGCTCCAGGCTCTCGTGAGGCGCCTGCTGGGCCGGCCACAGCAGCGGACGCCATGTGCGAGTCAGGGCTCTGGTGCGCGTTCTGCTGACGCCCCTGCCCTGCTCACAGCAGCCCCGCTTCTCTCTGCCCGGGCAGGCTGCCCGCAGACTGTCCTCACTGCCTCCGGATGCCAAAGCACCAGCTGCCGCCCCTGCGCCTGGCACCGCACCTCCTGCAGCTGGCGGGGCCCAGTTTCCTGAGGCCACGGGGCAGCGAGGCTGGTGAGGACACGGGCAACATGGGGACAGTGGAAACCCGCTCTGCCTACCTGGGGGCTGCATGGGGAGGCTCGGAGAGAAAAGGGGAGGAGTCAGGCAGGGGCAAGAAGGGGAAGGTGCAGAGGGAGGCCAGGGAGGGGGAGAAAGAGGGACCATCGGGACGGAAAGGAAATGGTGGCAGCACAGCTGAGGTGAGCGAGTGAACATCTGAATGAAGACAGGAGCCACTGGGAGGGCACAGGACGGGGATGGGAGGAGGGCCAGCCAGGAAAGGGGACAGCAACCTCTAGGGAAGGGAAGCCAGGCTTCCTCTGGACTTGACTGCTTCCATGGCAACCAGGCCCGCTGCCTGGGCACCGGTAGGGTGGGCCTGGGGGCTCAAGGACCAGAAAAGGCATGTGTTTGACCTTGGGTTTGCCACACATCCTGCTCTCTCCCAGGAGCCAGGCCTTCCCTCCCTCTCCCTCACCTTCACTGCAGTCAAAGAGAATATCCATAAAGGGAGTGTCAAGTAGAAAAAGGGAAAGAATAAGGCAACCACATGCAAAAGCGATTGGGCAGAACAAAAGAGGCCGGGGACAGGAGGGGGCGGGCCTGGGCTGACCGCGCAGCCGGGCCCAGCGGAGAAGCAGGCAGCCTCGCTGCCTCGCTCTCCTCGTCTCCTAGGAGAGGAGCACAGCCAGCGCTCCCTCCCAGCGAGGCTGCGTGACCCGCTTTCCCAGGGCAGCCCGACCCCAAGGCCCCAGCCGGAGAGGCCTGGGCAGCCAGAGGGCGCCCGGAAGGCGTGAGGAGAGGGACAGAAAAGAGAGAGCAGGTGTGAACGGGAAACCCCAGGACAGTGGGAAGGACAGAGAGACTCTGAGTGGGGAGGAGGGAGCAGGACCTCAACGGCTTTTGTGGGGGAGGATGTGGTGAGGATCCTTGGGTGAGGATGCGAGGCTGCCAGGTCTGGGAGGAGCAAGACCTGATGCACCAGGGGGCGCTCGCCCCCATCTCACAGCCCACACCACCCCTAAACTACAACTCCCAGCAGCGCCTGAACAGCAAGCTGAGCTCCCGAATGCCCCTGGCACAGGAAGGGGGGTCGCCCCTGGCACAGGAAGGGGGGTCGCCCCTGGCACAGGAAGGGGGGTCGCCCCTGGCACAGGAAGGGGGGTCGCCCCTGGCACAGGAAGGGGGGTCGCCCCTGGCACAGGAACGAGGGGTTGGCACAGGAAGGGGGGTCGCCCCTGGCACAGGAAGGGATGTTGCCCTGGCACAGGAAGGGGGCAGTGGCAGATGCGTGTGTATCTCCCAGGCCAGGGAGTGTGGAGCCCACAGGGTCCCAGGCCAAGCGGAATGTGCCCAGAGACCAGCTGTGGCCCTGGATTTCTGAGCGAGAGGGGGACAGAGCAGCTGCCGCCTTTCCAGCCCGGCCCAGACCCTCCTGCGAGGTCTCCGGCCCGGCCCCTCCCGCTGGCCGGCACTACAGCTGTCTGCTGGCTCGTTTGGCACCTGCTGCCGGTGACATCTTGTACCACTCCCTGGAGAGGAAGTGCGAGGTGAGAAAGGCCTGGGCACGAATGCCGGCGTGGTGACCTTGGCCAGGAGGCAGCATCGCGGGCCCCGCTTCCTCCTCTGGACAAAGGAGCTAATCACGGCCTACCTCGCGGGTTGCCGTGGGCACTCGGAAGCGAACAGATGGACGCGACTTTCTCAACTGTGAGCCGCTCCACAAATAAATGCCTCTTGTGCTGGCATGTGCGTGTCAGTACGCTCCTCTCCAGATCAATGAATAATTAATTCCTCTGGACAAAGTCTGCACTTTGCGTGTCCCACGCTTTATGATGCTGATTTGTTAGGATTCAATGAGCCCCTGAGGACAGAGACCATCCTCCCACTTAGAATCCAGGTGCCGGGCACACACTGCTCCTGAGAGGGCGTGGGGGGGAGGTTGAGGCACACAAATGAACACCCCCAAGCGCTGTCCTCGGGGGCTCGTCCAGGTGCGGGAGGCAGACAGGTGGAGTGACAGGACACAGTGAGATGGGCGACATAGCGGACGTGTGGCCAGGGGAACACAAGTGTCTGGGTGCACCAGGGGGGGGTGCGGGCGACTTCCCGGCTGGACAGCCCACCTGCTTTTCCCAGAGTCAGCTGAAAGGGATACCAGCCCGCTGGGGGAGAGGGCAGGGATGGCGGCCGTCCAGGCGGACAGAACAGCGTGTACAAAGACACAGACGGGATCCTGCACCCACTGGCCTTCCCGGAGGAGCTGGGAAAGTGCCCTGCAAACTTCTTGGGAAGGAGAATCTCTGAAGAGAGGCAGCCTTGGTGCTCACCACCCGCAGCCCATGGGCAGAATCTGGGGCTGGGGGAGGAGGGATGGGGGGGGCAGGGGGCGGGGCCACTTTGGCAAGTGACAGGTTCCTCCTCTGTAAACCCCAGGCAGCAAGCCCTTCCTTCCACAAAGGGTGGTGGAGCATCATTTAGGTGACGCATGGGGTACATACGTCATATATAACATATGTCATATATAACATATATAACACCACATCTGCAAACCACACTTAGATGATTAAATGGGGGCGGGGGGGTGTTACCCCGCTGCCTGGCCCACCAGGGAAACGTACTCCAGCAATGAGACTGAACAACTGCCACAGAAAGGTGTCTGGGTCGTAGACCGAGGTCACCGGCACAGCTGAGCTTTGGGGAGGGAACGCAAGCTCGTGGTCCTTCTCACCGGGCGGTCCCGGGGGCGCGGGCCCAGGTGTCCCGGGGGCCGCGGAGCGGGCACACCTTTGCCCACTAGCCTCCCCCAAGGGAAGTGCAGTCTGCCTGCAGGGGCAAGGGCTGGGCTCTCCGGGGACAGTGGGGTCACTGACCTTTTGTCGGCTGGTGCACATCACCGGCTCCTCCTCTCCCGGCCCCCCCCTCGGAGAACAGTAAGGACCCTACTGGAGAAGCAGAATTGGGGAGTCAGGACAGAGGGCTACCCAGCCTACCCACCCCAGCCTTGGTGATGGAGGGCCCTCCGGGGCAGAGGTCCTCTCGCTTGGACGTACACGCTTGGGGCAAGGGGAGCTGCTCTGGGCATCCACTCGCTCTGGGAAAGACCCCAGGAACCCCATCACACTCAGGACCACCAGATTCTGCCCTTGTCCCAGGAGTGAGGAGGCGGCAGAGAGGCAGAGGCCTCGGGCTGGTTCAGGGCCCTGGAGGCCTGTGCTCCGCCGCCAGCTCCCGGCTCCCGCCCCTCCGGCTCCGTATCTTTGCTCTCACCCTCTGCGGGTCAGAGGGCACACTCTTCCTCCAGAGCTCCCCAAGCCACACACCACCCCCTCCCCGGACCTGTGCCATCCCCCAGGCAACCTGGCTCTGTCTACACCTGGTGCGGTGAGAGGATGCTCTCATGGCCCCTTTGTCCCGGCTTTGCCCATGAGCCTGTGGGCATCACAGGGGCAGGCCATGGATGCTGTTCGCACCCTGTCCCTCCTGTCCCTCCGTTGTGTCTTCAGAGGGCTGTGCACACCAAGGGCGGTCCTGACTAGCCAGGCTACTGTTTAGTGGGGAGCCCTCTCCCAGGGGCGCCTCCTTGCTCTGGACCACCCGGCTGTGAGCTCCAGGCCTCCTCTCCCCAGGCCCAGCGGCCGTGTCGTTATGCCCGGTGCCCGGTCAGCTTAAGCTCCCGACCCCCACTGCCGGTGACGTGTGTGCTTGGCGCCCGGCTCCCCGGCACCCACACCTGGCCAGACCCCAGGGGATGAGGGGAACTCAAGAATGGAGTTCCCACCCCAACCCCAAAGCCCCAGAGCCAAAGCGAGGATGACGCCTCAACCGTGCACCTCCCCGGGGAGGGGCGGCCCTTTCCGCCTGCGTCTACGACAGAGGTGCCCCAGCCAGCACCCCAGCACCAGGCGCTGACAGGCAGGAAGGACGTAAGGGAGCCAACCAGGTCCTGACTGCCCAGCTGGGATTCCTTTCCTGGCATTCCTTGCCGTATGTGGCATCCCTACCGGAATCATAGGCCGCTGCCTCCCAGACCCGAATCCACCCAGACTCCAGCTCCGAGTCTCTCTATCTTGTCGGCCTCTCCTGCCTCCGCCCTAAGGGGGGTGAGCCCAGCAGCGGGCTGCCCTGGCAGGGAGCAGTCCCAGAGGCCACGAGCTCAAAGGAGGCCTGGGAGGTCCTGGCGGGCAGGGCCACAGTCGGCACCCTGGACTCTGCCCGGTGCTGACCGCCAGGCTGGCTGACATGGCGGGGGCTCGGTCGAGGCTAAAAATAGATGCACAGCCCCAACGGCAGCACCAATTAGTCGGAGTGATCACTAGCCAGCCACTTCATCCTCCGGGCCTCACTGTCCTCCTCTGCTCCACAGTCAGAGCCTTCAAAGACACGGGGGAAGGCCTGCAGCAGGACAGCCGTGGAAAGGGGGACTCCACGCCCGGCTCCCCTACGTTCCCACTCACTCCATTGTGGGCACAGGGGGCATCCTACAGCACCAGGGGGCGGGGACCAGGTGCCTAAAACCCTATTTCTCCAGCCCCCGCTTCCCTCTTTGTACTCGGATTGACAGAGAAGAAAGAGTGATCAGAATGAGTGGAAGGAAACAAAACGCACCATGAGAGAGAGAGAAAGCAAGACACACCACCAGGAGAACACAAAAAGGTGACTGGAGACACGGCAGGAGTTCAAACATCTCTTGATGTCAGAAACCAAGGTGAGATGCGGGGGGGATGGAGGGGGGGGCAGAGGGGGGAGGAGCACAGACACGGACAAACCCCCACCCCCACCCGGCACCCCCCAAAAATAAAGACATGGCAGAGGAAGGGGATGGGAAGGCAAGGTATGGGGGCCAGATGGAGGAGGGGGGAGGAGCACAGGGGGAGCAGGAGATCCAGGCGCAGGTGGGGGCAATCCAGTCCAATCCAAAGCAAACCAGAACTTCAGACCATACCTTCGCTGTTTAACGTCAGGTGAGCCGGACCTTGGAGAGAGGAAGGAGAGAGAGAGAGAAAGGAAAAACAGAACAAAACAGAAAGAAGAAGAAAGGAAAAGGGGAAAGAAACAAAGAAAACACGAGTCATCAAAATCAGCCAGAGAGGGGGGAGAGAAGCTCTCGCTGCCACAATTTAAAAACCCTTTTAACTTGTGACAGACATCGGGGGAGAGCCCCAGTCCAGAAGCTGGGGACAGGGGCCCGATGCCGAAACAGAGGGTGGAGGGCATGAGAGGGGCAGAGAGAGGGGTGAGGGTGCAGGCGGAGCCGGAGGGGGGTGGGGCAGGGGGTCGCTGCAGGGGGAGAGGAGATTTTGGTTTCTTTTTTTCATTCTTGCCGGAAAAAAAAAAAAGGAAAAGGAGGAGAAGCAAGAGGCTGGGAGGGCTGCTTTTTCCTTTTTCTTTTTTTTTCTTTTTTTTTTTTTTCTTCCGAGAGACGGAGAGAAAAAAAAAAAAAAAAACGGTCAACGAGAAAAAAACGATTCGGATGGAGGAGAAAATAAAACACGACACAAAAATCAAAGCCACCTGGAGAGAGAGAGAGTGTCCTGTTAGCGTGGGATTGAGTGGGCAAGGGGGACCTCCACCCGCCCCCCCACGCCCCATCCCTGTCACCCCTGTGATCCTGGCAGAGGAGGGGAAGAGGGAGGCAGAGGAGCCCGGGCCCAGGGGCCCCACAAAAGTGAGCTCTGGAAAGGCTTCCGCCCGTTCCCGTCCCGTCAGCTGCTCCTCCCACACCCGCTCCGGGCGGCGGGCACCCACGCCTGGCTTCTCTAAGGAACCAGGGTGGGGGACAGGGGGAGTGTAGAAGCAGTGGGAAGAAGCAGGGTCCAGGCAGACCCTGGAGCAAGTCTGGGGGCAGGGATTCTCCCACAGGGAGGACTAGGGGCCAGCGCCCTCGGCCAGCCAGGGGCAAAGAGGACGGCCAACACCATGGGCAGAAGGCCCGGGTCTGAGGGGTCAAACCTCGCTCCTAAGCTGTTCCGTGGCCCCCTGTCCCCGCCGGGCCTCCTCTGAGATGACCCAAAGCTGAGTTTTGAACATGGAAAACGGAAGCCCTATTTCCAACGTTGTGAGCAAGAGCAGTGGGGTTTTTTCAGAGTTACCTCAGCCCCGGGAGAGAGCCCGGCCAGCCCCGACCCAGAGCACCCTCAGCCTTAGCGGAGGACTCTGGCCCACGGGACCAGGCCCCCTGTCCCCAGAAGCCACGAGTCAAGGAAGCTCTCCCCAGAGAGGCGGCCACACCAGCCCCACAGCTGGGCTGAGACCTGGGACCTGAGCCGGCCAGTCAGCCCCACCGAACCTCAGCCCTCCCACTCCCCCACCTGCAGCCGCGGTGTCTGGCCAGGAGGGTGGGAAGGAACAGCCCTGCAGACAGAACGCGCCCTTGAAGCCATCCCCGCTCTGCACACTGGAGGCGGGCCCGGGCAGAGAGAGGGGCCCGGGCTCCGGTGACTGACATGGAGCTGAGGCTGGTGGGCCCGGGTTCAGAGAGGCGTGGCCAGGGGCCAAGGCCCGGCTCCCGGGGAGATGTGGTTCATGGCACCCGCTTCTCTCGGCAGCACTGGTCTCACCCACCTTTGGGTCGAGGCCGGATGGGGCTGCCTCAGGACAGGACAGCTCTTGGAAAGACAGGTCTTCTTCACAAAACCCGGGGACCATCTTACTGAAATGCCCCCCCCCACTCCTTCCCCCAAGAACTGCCAGCACTTCTTCCAAAGCCCAGACCCAGAGCCTAACCCCATCTGACTCTCCCTGGCAGAAACAGACCTGCTCGCAGGCTGCTGGAAGCCGTGATGTGGGCCTGCCCTCTGTCCCCGCCAGGCCTGTCCTCCTGCGGGAGGGGGGCACCTCCCCTTGCAGACCCTTCCACTGCCCAGCTCCGGCGGCCTCATTAGCATGCCGCACTCTCCTCTGTCACCACGGCAACCAGCTGCTCGGCTCCCTCAGGCGTGACAGCACCAGCCATCTTGGTGAGGGGAGGCCAGTCCCCTGCCCCGTCTCCCGCGGCTCAGCCCAGCCGGGCCCAAGGGTGCTCTCCCTAAAGCCTGCCTCCCACCGCCCTGAAGTCTCTGCTCCTCCTCATGCCCAGCTCCCCCACCCCCGCCCCTACATCCCCGCCCCAGGTCCACCTGTGGCATCACCCTCCCTCCACTGGGGAAGGCTGGCTGTGACGGATGCATTAGCAGGGTCCTTCCTAGGGCACTTTATCTGCTGCTTCTGTGTCTTCTCTCCGCTACAAGAGGTGGGGGTGGAGGGAGGGGAAGTCGGGATCCCCAAAAGGAGATGCTCAGCAGGAGGCTGGGAGCAGGATGTCTGGGCTCCTGGGAGAAAGCTGGGCCTGAGACACAGCATCCAGGGGCGAGAAAAGAGGGAGGAGGCATGGAGGACTCAGACCTGAAGGGGGAGCCTCGCAAAGGAGGCCCCGCCACCCCGGAAGCCACCCCCTGCAAGCCCCCTCCCACTGTCCCACCGCCTCCTCTCCCATCAAGAAGGAGGGAGCTGGTGACGGGGTCAAGCGTGGAGAGACACACGAGCAGACATGTCTCAGAGACCCGCACACAGAAGCATCACACACTGAGTATGTACACACACAGGCACTCGTTCGACATACGGGCACACGCAGTGTCAATCCGATCCCCAGACTCCCCTGCCGCCCCCAAGAAACGGCCAGGTGGCATCACAGCCTCAGTGGACTCTCTCTCCACGCCCGGCGTCCCTTCTCGCTCTGCAGGTCTCACCTGCGGGGAAAGGTGCTCCCTCCTTCCCTCGGCCCAGTCGCTCCGCTCCAGCAGCAGCCCTGCCTGCTTCTCTGGCCTGGCCCTTTCCCGCCCCCTTTCAAGCTTCTCTGCCCCTACCTCCACGAGTGTCCTTCCTCTCCCCACCTCTACCCACCCCTCCGCTCCTTCTCCTGGACCAGCCCTCCCTCCCCCTCCCCCAGCCTCTCTCCTCTATCCTTTTTCTCGCTCCCTTCCTCCCTTCATCTCTCCCTTTGTTCAGAGCAGACAAGACATCAAGAGCAAGTAAAAGTCACATCAGCACTAAATCTTATCTCCAGCCCTCAGAAGGCTGCGGCCACCAGCCACGCAAGCTCTCACACACGAGGTAAACACTGCCACGGAGACACAGACACGGAGAGGACAGATGCAGACACAGATGCAGACACTGCTCGGGGAGCAGAGATGTGGGCCACGCCGCGAAGACACGCGATGGAGGCCACACCGCCACACGCAGATGCATATGCACAGCATGTATGTGCAGACGTGCACAAAGAGCTGTACACACACACACACACACACACACACGGGCGCCTGCAGGCCAGGACCGGGGACATGAGGGCATCCAAGGAGAAGAGACCTCACCCAGAGACACCAGCCAAACTGTGGGCACCACTAGGCAGCCCACACTCAGGCCCAGAGCCCCGCCCCTCTCCTCCCCAGGACTGCTGGTCCCCTGCCCGCCCAGGGCAGGGCCGGCTGTGTCCCTCCCTCTCCCGCTGCTTCTCCAGGAAGAGGACATGGCAGGTGTGTGGATGGGATGCCACCCCCGCTCCTGCTGCCTGCCCTCTCGAGGCGCCCACGGGAGCTCCCAGCAGCCCAGCCTCCCAGCCTGGGCATCAGCCCAGGCTCCCCTCTCCCTGACCCGCTCCCCCCAGGAGGAAAGAAACAGGGAAGACCAATCCGAGGATAAGGTTCAGAGCACGACGGGAACCGAAGAGAGCCTGGGACAAGAACGAGAGACGGAGAAAGCCTGGGACAGAGCCTAGAGGAAACCCAGAGAGAAAGGGCGGCAGGAAGAGAAGTCGGGAAGGATGGAGAGAGACCCCAAAGAGAGCCGTGGCCTGGGCTGAAGGAAGACGCAGGCCACCCCACCTACCAGCCCTCGGGGCCGGGCCGGGCCGGCAGGGCAGGGGCAGGGCCTGCTGCAGGTGTCAGTCAGAGCAGAGAAGCTGCCCTACCTACTCCCTGCCCCGGGGACAGTCCCCACCCCCCTCTGCCAGACTCGCCAGACCCGGGACTGGTACCCAGGCTCTCCCAGCCCACCCCTCCCCCAACCACTCCCTGTCTGCAGGGCTGTCCTGAGCCTCCTCGCTGGGCGGGGCAAAGCAGTGTCCCCTCACCTGCTCTGCGCGCTTTAGAATCCTCCGGCCCCATCCCTCCCTACCTCCCCCCCCACCCATCTCAGCCCCAAGGAAGCAGCAAGGCCAGGGACAGGCTGGTGCGGGAGACAGGCAGTGGAAGGGCCTGCCCGCTGCCTGGCAACCCAATAAGGAGGGGCTGGGCCAGAGGTGGGGCCGAGGCCGCCAAGAGGGTGCCCAGACATCCTCCCCGGGGCAGGGGCAGGGGCAGGGGAGGGAGCCCTTGGGTGGCCAACGATACCCCCTCACACAGGACCCCACACAACTGATCGCCGCTCAGGGAGCCGCAGGCCCACTCACCTTCCATGGGGTGCTCCTCTGCAGGCAGCGGGCGCAGGAAGGGGTGCAGAGGGAGAGAGAGAAAGGAGGCTGTTAGCGAGGATACCAAGGACTGACTGAGGGGGTCAAGGTCCCCACGCCCACCCAGGCCCTGACACAAGCCACCGACCTGGAGGGCTCTGCGGGGGAGGAGACAGACCGAGGTGTTTGAGTCAGCGCCTTACACCGCGAGGACCCAAACCTCTATTACATTTCAGGAAACCAAGGCCCAGGGTAGGGCAGTGGCCACTCAAGGTCACGTGGAGAATGGGAAGCAGAGCCCAGAGCGCAGGCAGTCAGGCGCCCTGCCTCCCAGGCACGCTCCTTCCCACCTTCCAGCGCATCTCTGAGGCAGACGGGGACATGCTCGGGGCTCACCGGAGACACACTCATGCTCCGTGACACACTGACACACATAAGCCCCACGGATCCGGAGACACAGGTAATCTCCCGCACAGCTCACACCCAAAGCCCCCTCCACCGCCCCCCAGGGCAGAAGAGTCAAACACAGTCCCGCCTCCAAGTGCTGTGTGGCTCCCACCCCGTCACTTAACCTCTCTGAGCCCGGTCCCTCTTCTGCAAATGTGAGAGCGGCGAATTGGAGCATTTCTGAAAGCCCTTCCAGCTCTGGTCCGGGGGTTCTATGACACACGCCTCTGATCCTCTGAGTGAGGCAAAGCGCCCCCACCTGGCTGGGCCACGTCAGTGGTGGGAGGGGTGCAGAGGCAGTGGGCCAACGGGGCCCATCCTAGGTCATGGCACAGCCTTCGGGCAGCCAGCCTGCACCTAGCGGGCCTTCCTGGGCCAGGCCAGGGCTTGCCAAATAAGCCCGGAGAGAAGACAGAAGGAAGAGAGGACGGGGCCGCTCCCCCCACTGAGCTACCCCTCCCGGAGCAGGCTGGGCTCTGGCCTTTACAGAAGCAACAGGCGGGAACAGAAATAGCACAGCCTACAAACACACAGACCCAGTGGGAAACACAAACACACACACACACGCACACGCATGTGGGCCCCCGGCTATGCGCGCACACGCCAAAAGCTGTTCAGTCCATATTTAGAGCTGCGAGCACACGCCATCTCCTCCTACCTCCAGCCTCATTTTGTGTTATTTGCTCATCCGCTCTGCGCAGTTTAGCTCTACTCCAGAAACACATACTGTCATTTATCATAACTTATGCCACCCCCACAATCCACACGCTGGCTGAACGCAGAATCGATACCCCACGGTGATCTCATACACAATATTAGATGCATGCATACCACCGCTCCACACGCTCTCCGGGGACAAAGGCACGCCCTGCAATGAGCACAGCTCCCGGTTTCTCTTTCTGTCCACCCACCCCCCCACCTCCCTCCATCCCATCTTCTAACCCTGCCCCACGAGCCCCACAATCTACATGTGTGAGCCATGCTTCGGTTCACTCAGAGCTTCTCTCTCCCGCCAGCTGCCCCCCCAAAAGCCGTGTCTGCGCTGCCTCCTCAAGCAGACGGAACCCTTTGCATCTGGGGCCTGGCGAGCTGAGGAGGCCCTCAGGGGACCTCGGGGCAGCCCCGGCTCTCCCGCAGAGCCCGTGTCAGAGCCTCTGGCCCCGGGTGCGAGGCCCTGCTCAGTCATCTCCCCGGCACCTGCACAGACAAGGAGGTGCGATGGCCTCAGGGTAACCCAACACTGTCCCCTGCCTCCTATGGGGTCAGGGCTGGGGCTGAGGTGGGGCCGGGGTCTTGCTGTGCTCAGGAAAGTGAAGCAATCAAGTCTGGTTTGCTGCCTGTGCCGGCCCTCCCACTCCTGCCTCTGAGAGGGGCACCTGGGACTCACTGGCCTCGCTTTCTTTGCTGGCCTTTGCCTCCTGCTGATTCACCTGTGCCCCTCACCCGCCAGCCCAGGCCCCTCCGGGCTCAGCCCACACCCTCCACACTCTTCTCCCTCCTCCTCAGTGACAGGTCACTGTTGTGGCTCAGGGACCCCCCGAAACTGTGCCTGCGGCCCCACCCCTTCTCTGGGTGCCAGTCCTGCAGCCTCCGCTGTCCGCTCAGCACTCACGTGTCTGCCATCCAACTCCACCACTGACACCACGCTCCACATCCCCACCCCCAGCCTGCGTTTGGCAAAGGCACTGCTTCAGCCAACACTTCCTGAGCACCCCCAAGGCGACCCACACACTGCTCCAGGGACCCCACTAGGGAGCCACGCACCATGCAGCCCCAGCGGGTGCCTCAGCGCGCCTGCGTCAGCTCGGCCGTATCACCTACGTCCTTGGACAGAGAACCCTGAGCACAAAGCCCCCGTGGCCTCTGTCCAGTCACCAGGCCCTGCCCCTCGCCTGGGTTCTGCATTGGAATCCTGCTGGATGGTCTCCCTGCCCATCCCCAGCCTGGCTCCCTTGGCACCAGCACCAGATACACCTGGCAAGCGCGGCGGTGATCAGCGTGCACACAACACACACAAGCACACACGCGGAACTTTCTAGTGTCCTCTTGGCCTGGTACCCGCCTGCCTTCGGAAAAGCTCCCACGGAGTGTCTCCTGGGCTTTTCATCCCCACATGTCCCAGAGGGACCTCAATACCCTCCCCCGCAGCCCCCCCCCCCACATTCCCTGGTCAGGTTAGGCACCCAGCAATCAGCCCTGCTCTGTCTTCATACCAGCCCCCATGCCCACCCGTGCCACCTTCTAAAACCTAAAAACTAAACTAAGTTCCTAGAAACCCTTTCGTCCCTCCATCACCATCAGCACAGCCCCACGGCCAGGCCCTCCTCAGACCCTCTCCTCAGGACGTTCAGAAGCCTCGTAGCGACCTCCCCCCACACTAACGGCCCATCTTTTCACCCCGCGGCACAGCCCGGAGTGGCCCCTGCGTAAAACTCTCCGGGCGCCCTCCCCGGTTTGGCTCGGCGGATGGAGCATCAGCCTGCGGACTGAGGGGTCCCAGGTTCGATTCCGGTCAAAAGCACATGCCCGGGCTGCGGGCTCGAACCCCCAGTAGGGGGCATGTAGGAGGCAGCCAATCAATGATTCCCTCTCATCGTTGATGTTTCTCTCTCTCTCCCCCTCTTCCTTCCCCCTGAAATCAATAAAAATATATTAATAATAATTTTTAAAAAAAAAAAAAAGCCAAAACCGGTTTGGCTCAGTGGATAGAGCATCGGCCTGCAGACTGAGGGGTCCCAGGTTCGATTCCGGTCAAGGGCATGTACCTTGGTTGCGGGCAAATCCCCGGTGGGGAGTGTGCAGGAGACAGCTGATCGATGTTTCTCTCTCATAGATGTTTCTAGTCTCTATCCATCTCCCTTGCTCTCTGTATAAAATCAATAAAAATATATTTAAAAAACAAAAGACTCTTCAGGGCTTCCAGGGCCTGCCTCAGGCAAGTCCATTCAGTTTGGCCACATCTCCCTGCAACCGCCTTTCCTGCGGCCATCCAGGCTCCAGCCACACCTGACGTCTCCCCACCTCCCTACCGGCCACGCTCTGCACATAGATGCCCTCAGCTGGAAACGCCCTTCCCCATCCTCTCTCTTCTCGTCCTCAGCAGCCTAAGCAAGTCAACTCTTATAAGTCCTTATGAGACCCGGTCAAGCCCTAACCGGTTTGGCTCAGTGGATAGAGTGTCAGCCTGCGAACTGAAGAATTTGGGTTCAATCCCAGTCAAGGGCACGTACCCTGGTTTCAGGCACATCCCCAGTAGGCAGCTGGTCAATGTTTCTCTCTCATCGATGTTGCTGGCTCTCTATCCCTTTCCCTTCCTCTCTGTAAAAATTCAATAAAATGTTGTGTGTTTTAAAAAAAAAAAAAAAAAGACCCGGTCAATATAGCTCTGTTCTTTTTTTTCTTTTTTTTATGTTTTATTGATTTTACACAGAGAGGAACTGAAAGGGATAGAGTTAGAAACGTCAATGAGAGAGATACATCGACCAGCTGCCTCCTGCACACCCCCCACTGGGGATGTGCCCACAACCAAGGTACGCGCCCTTGACAGGAACGAACCCGGGACCTTTCAGTGCGCAGGCCGACGCTCTTTCCACTGAGCCAAATCGGTTTCGGCTAGCTCTGTGTTCTGAAGTGACCTCCTGGGCAGAGCAAGCCTGCTCTCCATATGCACATTGTGTCATTATCCCGTTATCGGGTCTGTCCTGTGTTTCCATCTCTGCTTCCTGACTGGACTGTGAGATATCCAAGAGCGAGGAGAATGTCTCATTCATCTCTCTCTATCGAGCTGCTTGCACAGTTCCTGGATCAGGAAAACACATGGCTGTGTTTGTTGAATGAATAATAGAAAGCAATCCTGGCTGTTTCCATGTACTGTGTCATTTCCTCACCACCATCCCCTGGGCGTGGACACTGCTACTACTCCCTGGGAGAGATGGAAAAACCAAGGCTCAGAAAGCGGAAGAAACTTTTCCAAGATCATACTGATCCTGAGGGGCAGCGGCAAAATCTGAGCCCAACCCTGTTCGGCTTTAAAACTTGCAATGAGAGGGATGAGGACAAATATGTGACACCTTAATCAATAAAGAAATTTAATAAATAAATAAATAAAACTTTCAATGAGCGCCAGCCGGTTTGGCTCAGTGGATAGAGCATCGGCCTGTGGACTGAAGGGTCCCGGGTTTGATTCTGGTCAAGGGCCCATACCTCGGTTGCAGCCTCTTCCCCAACCAGAATCAGTGTGCATGCAGGAGGCAACCAATCAATGTGTTTCTCTCTCTTTCCCTCTCTCTTCCACTCTCCTTAAAAATCAATGGGAAAATATCCTCGTGTGAGGATTAACAAAACAAAACAACAAGAAAAACTTCCGGTGAAACTGCATGCTTGGCCTGGAAGTCAAGACTGATTTCACCTCCCACAAATCACAAAGGTCTTGGTCTCCTCCCTCTCCCCCGGAGGCCCCTGACTCACAGCCTCTGCCTGGCCCACGGGACTCCTCATTTAGGCTGTTTCCCTGATGGGAAAGCCCTGTCCTTTCCTCTCCAGCCCCACAAATGTCACTCAGTCACTGCAAG